CTTGCAGTAAGCTCACTTCTCCACAACATCTTGCTAATGTGCAAGTTAATGCTTTTGGAAAGCAAATTACAGAATCTCATGAAAAGTTAGGAAGAACATTGGGAGATAATTTGGCTAAAGCTTTGGAAGAAAATTTGGAACAACAAATGGAAAAGCTCAAAAAGGTCCTGGAAACGCAAACAAAATTTTTGAAAAATATGTTGGTACTGTACAGATGGACTCTGATAAAAAGGTATGTTTCTTTGCTTGTGGTAAACCAGGACATATGAAAAAGGATTGTCCTACAAAAACAATCCAACCTAAACAACTTTCTATTTGCCCTTGATGTCGGAAAGGGAAGCATCTTGCTAATTACTGTCACTCTCAATTTGACATTGATGGCAGGCCTTTGCCGTTAAACTCAAAAAAGAGTGCAGATTACCACCGCGCTACGACACAAGTAGTGGTTCCTCCTTACAATTACCCAGTCAAATGGTATTGGTACCTCAGTCATTCCTACCTCAGTCAACCATTCCTCAAATGGTCCCAGCATGTTTGAATTTGCCCCCTCAAAATTGATATACCTTTTAAATAATTTTTGTCATGAAAGCATTTCTACTGGATTTATCGATTTCTTTCAACAAAGGCAAGATTTTTTGATTCTGGGCAAAGCCAGCAACAAAATTTTAGGACTTTCAGTCCTTCCAATTGTTGTTTCAGTAAATTATAATGAGGAGTTTGTAATTTTAGCTCTTACACCTAATGTTCCTATGGTTATACCACCAAAACACCTATAGCTATTGCATTTCTTTTACCCATGAATACACCCAAGGAAAAAAAATTTCCAAAGAATTCAGTTATTGTAGTTTTCTCCCCCTCCACGCAGCCCCCCAAAGAATCCGACTAGCTCAGAGATAAGGGGCTGTGAGGGGAGGAATACTAGCAGAGAGATAAATATTCAAAAGAGGCTCTTACCCCAGGGTGTTGGAACAGCTCTCTTTATTCTGTGGTGTCCATGTGAGAGCAGGGCAAAAGAGAGAGAACAGGAAATCTCAGGGGTCTATATAGGTTTTGGACAGGGTGGGCTTTCCTGGCTCTCCGCCAACCCCATTGGGGCAGAAAGGAGGGCTCCAAGGGTTATCTTGATCAGAGTCACAAGGTCCTGGGGGAAGTGGGGCACAGGGTGCCCATGAGCTCACTGTAACAAGTTATGTCTGTGCCATTTAGTACCTCAGGTCCTGAGGTCTTTTGGGCGCAATGTGTGGGCCACAGCCAGCCAAAATTGACTTGTAGCCTGACACATCATGGTAAAACAATTTATATTACAGGTACTCCGGATACTGGTGCAGATGTCACTGTAATTTCTCACATATTTTGGTCTATATATTGGGATTTGGTAACTCCTGCAGGTTCCCTCACAGGGATTGGAGGTGCTACTGTGTGTTTGCAATTACATTACAGGTCTGAAGGAAAAACAGAAACAATGTGTCCTTTTGTTGTTCAGAAGCCTCTTACTGTCTGGGGAAGAGACGTCCTATACCAGTGGGGAGCAAAACTGGAAGTAAGCCTGTGATGGTAACCAATTCAAAATCTGCCACTTTAAAGCTGAACTGGAAAACTGACCATCCTATATGGATTGATCAATGGCCTTTAACAGAGAAAAAATTAAATATTCTTAAAAAATTGGTAAAGGAACAATTGCAGCAAGGTCCCATCACTCCCACGAACAGTCCCTGGAATTCACCAGTATTCATCATCCACAAGAAGACATCAGATTCCTGGAGGTTGTTTCATGATTTGAGAAGAATCAATGAAGTGATTGAAGACATGGGACCTCTTCAACCTGGACTTCCTTCTTTATCAATGACCCCGAAACATTGGCCACTTGTTGTCATTGATTTAAAGGACTGTTTTTTCCACATCCCACTTCATCCTGATGATGTTCCAAGATTTGCCTTTTCTGTTCCAGTCATCAATAGAAGAGAACCTATGCAGAGATAACACTGGAAATCATTGCCTCAAGGAATGAAGAATTTGCCTATAATTTGCCAATATTTTATTGCACAAGTTTTGTCTCCAGTTTGACAGAAGTGTCCCAGATCTGTGATTCTACACTACATGGATGATTTGCTCGTCGCTGCTCCAACACTACTGGAGATGGAGCAAACTTGTTCTAGTGTTGTTACTGAAATCCAAAATGCTGGACTTGAAATTTCTATAACCAAAATTCAAGAAGTTCCACCCTGTAAGTATCTGGGATGGAAGATGACTGAAAAAACAATTACACCTCAAAGGATACCGCTCCGGACCAGTGTCAACAATTTACAAGATTTACAACAACTTCTAGGAGAAATCAATTGGTTAGACCTGTTTTGGGAATTACCAATGATGAACTGGGTCCGCTTTTTGATTTGCTGAGAGGAAGTTGTGACATCAACTCTCCTAGAACTCTAACACCTGAAGCTTGTGCAGCTCTTGACAAGGTCATGGAAGCTCTCCAAAGGCAACAAGCTCATCACTGTGTTCAAGAAAAGCCTTTCCTTTTTGCCATTTTGGGAGAAAAAAATGCAACGTTGTGGTCTCATTTTCCAATGGGACCCTTCTGAGAGAGATCCTTTGTTGATAATAGAATGGGTTTTTCTTCCCTATAGGTCTCCTAAGACTATTTTTACAGTTCTAGAGATGATAGCACAAATTGTAATTAAGGCTAGAACAAGATTGTTAACTTTAGCAGGTCAAGAATTTGCAGTTATCTATTTACCATTGAAAAAAAGATTATCTTGATTGGGCAATGCAAAATTCTGATGGTTTACAATATGCATTATTGAATTTCCTAGGTATTTGTTCTGTTCATTACCCAGCTCACAAATTATTACAAGCAAAATCGAGTTTTAGAGAAAAACCTATGTTAAGTGAAGAACCTTTAGATGCAATAACTCTCTTCACTGATGGATCTGGCAAAAGTCACAAATCGGTAATAACTTGGTTGAACGAAACAACTAAAGCTTGGGAATCAGATGTCCAAATTGTAGAAGGATCTCCTCAGATTGTTGAACTTGCTGCTGTGGTTCGGGCTTTTCAGCTCTTTCCACAACCTTTTAATTTAATTACAGATTCTGCTTATGTTACTAATGTGTTTAAAAGAATAGAAGGATCAGTTTTAAAGGATGTTAGTAATGATATTTTATATCGTTGACTTTCATGTCTTTATACAACTTTGCAATGCAGAACTAATCCATATTTTGTTTCTCACATTAGGGCTCATTCTTCGCTTCCTGGATTTCTAATGGAAGCAAACGCGAGAGCTGACAAAATGACAATGGCTATTTAAACACTCTGCCAAACATTTTTAAACAGTTTTTTTCATGCAGGGAAAGCCAATTCTTTATTCACACAAATCATTTTTATACCGTTTTCACAGACCTCATGTTCAACTCCAATTGCCTGGTTGTTTCTTGCCACACAATTCCCTGCTTAGAAGGTGTTTTTGTGTGAATTTTCTAAGACTTTCTCTTTTACTCAGGTGTTTACAATTTTCCTTTGTGGACTCTCATTGGCCAGATTTCTTGTTTATTACAGATACAAAGAGTTTTCTTACCACAAGAGCTTGTTGTGCTAACTGCAGTAATTTTTATGATTTTTCACATGGGAAGTTAGCTAGCTGCATGTAGAAGACATAACAGACCAGCTGGTCACTTTTAGCAGACCAAGGCCTGATTTTATAAGGCCTTTCTTTGACAATACCCCTACCTGTGTGCAACACACTGTGACTTTCTTTCAGAATTTAAGGAAGAAAACACAGACTGGCTACCGAAATTTTTCTGCTCTCTTCCAAATCAGTTCACAACTCAAGCAAAACCCTCAGGCGCATCCCCGATTCCCTCTCTCCCAGCAGCTCTGAGCTGCGGCGTTGCACAGCACTTGCTGTATGTCAGAGAACACAAAGCAGACTGGCCTGCTGGCCCTGAATATTTCTGCAAAGCACTCTGCAGTCCACAGCTTTGCTGTGGCTCAGTGCAGAACTGCAGGATTGCAGTGCTGCCTCCCAGAGCTGTGTGAGGCACTGGCTCCTGCAGCCATGACCTGACAAGCTGTCACTGCCTCCTGCTCGCCTCGGGTCCCCTGGTAGAAGTGCCATGCCTGAAGGACGCTGCCTTGTGCTCCAGCCTGCCGAGCGGCCCGGCTCCCTGCCCCGGTGCCCAGAGTGCTGCACACACTTCTGACCTTTCCCAGGAGTCCCAGGGCAGCCGGCACAAGAGTGGGAATGCTGAGCCAGGCCACCGGCCCTCAGCTGCCCTTGGCCTTTCTCTCCTCGGGGCAGACTCCAGATGGCCAATGCCTCCAGGCTGGGCTGTGCCCAGCAGGGCTCCGCTTCCCCTCGGGAGCAGCCGGCTGCGCTTGGGCTCTGAGAGTGGAGGATGTGCCTGCTGCCAGCAAGAGGCACGCAGGGCCGGGCTGTGCCTCCTGGAGCTACAAGGGCCTCCTTGCAGTCTGCCTCTGCCGGGGCTCAGGCTGCTCCGGGCTCTGCCAGGGCTCTGCTGCAGCTCCACGCCGGGCAAGGCCAGGCCCGCTCTCACCTCCCAGTCACTGACAGCTCTGCACCACAGGAGACCTTTCAGACCACCTCCCTGATCTTTCTGCTTTCCCCGGTGAGCAAGGCTCTCCTCCAGCCAAAGACATTGCCTTTCACAATACAAATCCAAGTGGCAGGCACCCAAATGCTCTCGAGTCACAGCTGAAGGCCTACATCTGCACAGGATGTTTTGGCTGCGACACTCCCCCTTTGGTTTTTCCTGCAAATGCCATTGTTCTTTCTGCCTCAAATAGAGATACTACAGCTGGTCAAAAGCTGGCCATTAGGCCATATTCCAAAGGCAGTGTGGTCTGAAGAGGATGAATGAAGAAGAGCCTTTCCCACTTTCAGTAAGTATCACTTTCCACCTTTAGGAAACAACAGAAAGTTTAGAAGGAAATAGTGAGCTTATTCACAGAGTGAGAAAGAAGGGAATCTTCAGGGCGAGTTGTGGTTTCAGAAACTTTATTAATTTCCAATCCTAGTCTTCCAAGTCCTATTAGACAATCCTACCCTAACACTAACCCTAACCTACAATCCTACTCTAAGTAAATGGTAATGGTCCTGATGTGATTATCACAGTCTTGGCTCCTTCCTCTTCTTCACTGAAACAATCAGTGGCACCAGGCTGGACACAGGCTCAGCAAACGTTATAAATGGATGCTGCCCAAAGGGAAAAAAAAAAAAAATCAGCAAAAAACAATTAACTATGACTTTCCAAGATCAGTATGTCACAGGATTCTTCTGGCTCCTAGAAAAATGCAGAAAGGGGATCAGTGGGACCATCTGCACCTCCATCTTTATGTGCAGGATGTTTCCATCACAGGCAAACCTGGCCCAGAATCCCAGTCATCCATTTATTCTGGTTTCTCATCTTGATGGGATTTTTCCCCTGCCAGTGCTCTAGGAATGGTGCTTTCTGTCCCTGGGGTTTCTTCTTTCAGGAAGTTCCAGTGACTCACATAGGTCCCTATCTTGGAAAGACAGGCACCGTGCTAATTTCCACAGGCACACAGAGCAGTGCCTGCCTTTCCATGCCCTGCCCCTCCTGTGCTGGATGGCACCTTCCTTCCCAGCAGGGCCAGCCGAGTGGTGCTGGGTCCTGCAGTTCCCTCTCTGCCACACAACCTGGGCCAGTTCCCCTCTGCCTGAGCATGCCAGGCAGCAGACGGGGCTGGGACAAGTCCCTCTCAGCTGTCCCTGTTTGTAGGCCAGAAACCTCTAAGGGTGGGGTGGGGGGCACAAACCAGGGCCCCTCAGAGGCTCACAGTGAGCCCATCAGAGCTCCTCCTGCCCACAGCCAAATCTCTCCAGATTGCTCTGCCAGGAACTGGCAGCCTTGGGTTCATCCACCACCATTCCATGTCTCTCTACCCTGCAATGCTCTACTTCAGTTCTTTTGCTGTTAGGTAAAACAGAACACACCACCAAACTACAAATCAGGGCAACAGAAATAGAGGACAGAGCACCTCTCCTCAGAGGACAGGCTGAGAGACCTCGAGTTATTCAGCCTGGAGGAGAATAGACCCCAGGGAGATTTCATTGCTGAGTTCCAGTACTTTAAAGGGGATTCTCGGGAAGTAGGGGATACCTTTATTTAACAGGTTCAGTTGCAATAGGACATGGGATAGTATTTATAATCTATACTTCCTGGGTAGGGATGGGGCAAACATTCCAGGTCAGGTGCAAAGCGGCTCTGAGCAACCTGATCTCTCCCTGCTCATTGCAGGACACGTGGACCAGATGACCCTGCCAGCCCAGCCCAGTCTAGCACTCCTCAGCATTTTCATTTGAAGAGCACCAAGAGTGGAGGTGAGGAGGAAGGGGGCTCATCTGATGCCTCAGACCTCAGTGGAGGAGGAGCCCATCCCTCGGACATTGTTTCACCTCAGCTCCTTGGCATTTTTTTACCTGCAGGAGATCCTTGGCAGACCAGCGCCTTGCCTCATCTGTCTGCAGGCAGCAGCTCAGGAAGTCACGCAGGGAAGGTGAGAATCGGTTGGGCTGCTGCAGCTTTGGTGTCCCTCGTATGGCTATCAGGAGTTGAGGCTGGGGAAAAAGAAAACATGAGGCTCCAGCTGCTTCTTTGCCATCTGTAACTGCACTCCCTGAGCCCTTTGTTTAAGCTCCACTCTGCAGGGCAGTTTCTGCCCTGGTAGAGACCCAGGGATGACTTTCCTTTACCAACCAAAAACCTAAAGCCTGATGCAGCCACAGCTTTTCCAACATTCAGCAGATCTTGCCTTGGCAGCTGATTTCATTAGTTAGTGGGAACTACATCAGCAAAAGTACATTATGCTTCTCTGGGGATTCACACCATTTTGAAAGGCTATTTGGAAGGGGGAGTTTGCTCTATCCATACTATTTCCAAGGTTTATTACATGAAAGGAATCTTTGCACTGCTTGTTGGTCCCTTTAGCACAGCTTCCGTGAAAAAAAGTCATCAAGTTTTTTTCTCCTCTTAAAAAAAAATGCAGATGCAGAATCCATCTAAATTAGACAGAAAAAGCAATGGAAAGAGGCCTGGGAGTCTCCATGAAAGCACCCACCACGATAGTAACAGCTCTGTGCTGGTGGCACTAAAAAAGATGGTGATCAAAGAGACACTGTTAATTTCTTCTTCAACCCAGAGGAAAATTTCCTTCACTTTTCCCACACCCCCAGAGGTCACAAAGCGGGTTTTATCCTGTCTCTCTGCAACTGAGCTCAGCCACTGGACATGGTGGGGAGCTGGAGTCCTCACTCTCCTTAGAACTGTGCAAGCCAGGGATGGCCCTGCTCCTGTTGGTAAAGGAACACAGCACCAGCATCAACTGCCCACGTTGGATCCCAGCCCCAGGCACCGGGCTTCCAGCTCATTAACTTGTTAAAGTACCCAGAAACAGCCAAGGGTTTAGTGTACAATTCTAACTGCAGTCGGAGAAAAACACATCCTAAACTTATCCAGGCCACCAATACAGATGACTGAACAATGTACAGATGGTTTGAAAGCCTGAAAAATTTGAAGACCCAGAGGATTTAGAAAAGATGGTACAATTTGGAAGAAAAGAGATATACTTTGGTTAATAAAGGGGAAAGCAAGCAGAACTGCTTGGGCATTGCTTTGGTGGTTTTTCTCCTTTTTCTTTTTTCTTTTTCTTTTTTCCCCCTTTTTTTCCCATTTTCCAATTTCCTTTTATTTTGCTCTTTTTTTTACTTTTCATTTTCTTATCCTTTTCTCCTTCCTTTCCATTTTTCTTTTTTCTTTCCCCTTTTCTCTTCCTCTTCCTTTTCCATTTTCTTTTTTTTTTTTTATTTTTTCTTTTTCTATAAAATTGAAACTAGGAAAATTAAATCTCCATTTTGAAGGACATTTATCACACATCCAACCATTTGACTGAAAAATTCATTTCCTTCAGTAACAGATCTCCAACATTGTTCAAAAAGCAAATGAGAAGTATCAGGCATGGCTGGGGGCCAAAATGGCAAGTTGCTGAACTGGTTAGGTTTCTGAACTGGTTACCTTCCTCTGCCCTTCTGATGCAACCAACTCGACTGCAGATGCTGATGTGCTGCAGGGACATTTTTAGAAAGGGACCTTGGTGGAAATGGTGCCAGGAAATGGCAATGGGACTTTGTCCAATGGCACACAGGACATGGGGCAGGTGAGAAAGACAAACGGGATCAGGGAGTATTTGCACCTTACCGAATCAGGAGTTTCATTCCAGTAAGGAACTTCTTGTTCCACCATTTCGATGCCCACGATTCCAAAAGACCATACATCCACTTTGGGGCCATATGCTTGACCTGTCACCACTTCAGGCGCCATCCAGCCAGAAGTGCCAGCCACTGAGCTCCGTCTACTCTGCTCAGGGGTGAGCTGAGCAAAAAGGCCAGAGTCAGCTGTAGAGAAAAAAACATACCATGAAAGCCAACTCAAGTTTGGAAACCAAGCAAAAGAATTCCTCACTCTCAGTCTAAGAAAGCACTATATCATCTGCTGAAAATCTGTCCCTCAGGGCTTTAGCCAAGGATTGGCCACTTCAAGAAACCCCCTCATTTTTTAGACTACCTCCAGCCTTTATTTTTCTGAAGCTTTAGACTTGTAGCTCCCTCCCTCTGGAAGGGTCACACACCAACCAACGCCCCTCTTGACTCCTTGTTCTTGTCATACTTCTGTGCATGTTGCGACTGTGCCCATAGTTTGCAGCAGAGGTCCCTGCACTGCCGCCAGCACCATTTCTGGGGAGCTGGCAGTCACTCAAAGCAGCCCCTCACCCCACGTCCCTGAACACTGCACCTGACCAGGAATATACTGACCCAGCTTGACAGAGCCGTCGGTTCTGAGAAGGATGTTGCTGCTCTTCACATCTCGGTGGATCACGTGGTTTGAGTGAAGAAAATCCAGTCCTTGCAGGCACTGAGAGAGAAAACAGAAAGAGGAGGGCAAAAATTAGTGATGTGATTTCAGCATACAAGAAAGGAAACAGCTCTAAAAGATTCCCATTCCCCAGGGGAATGGCGAGTAATGGCAGAACACAGTGCCATTGAGAGGAAGAGCTGCTGCTCCAACACTTGCAGAGCAGGGCTATTCTAAGGAAAGGCATGTCAGGTTTTGAAAGAGCAACAGCACCTGCTGTTGTAGACTGTCCCCTGCAAACCAGCCAGGATGACTGCTGCTGCAGTGGATATTCTCTCTCCAAACAAGGGTTTGCCAAGAAAGAAAAAGTCCCTCCCTGTGGTGTGAAGTGAATCTTTTTTGGGGTGGGAGGCTGCATGATAAAGGTTTTATTGCTGGCATCAGCACAGGCTTGGAAGTATCACATCAGTCACCTTCCTGAAGCAAACACTGTTTTGTGTGACCACTGTCCTTTTCAGCTAAGGTCTGTGGGAAATGGGTGTCTTTTTCTTTGCCATTCATTTCAAATCCTGCCACCAGCACCTTTGCTTTTACAGGCAAGGAGTGCAGTGCAGACAGGCTTGAGGAAAACGTTTAGAGAGGCAAGGTGAAGAACAGCAAATACAAATACATGAGAGAGAGTGAGAATACAACAGCAGACGGTAAGAGTACAAGAACAGGTACAGTGAGTGCAGGGACACTCTCAGGCAGTTCTCTTGAGATGCTTTTACTTGCCCATAGCATACCAGCAACACAGAAACAAAGCCTTATACAGGAAATCACTCCAGGTCTGAGCCCCTGTTTCCCAGGCAATCCTGCCCAAGCCCTCTGAAGCACAGGTGGGATCCCTGACCTCCCGACTGATGGCTGCCATCTCGTCTTCACACAGGTAGGTCTTGCTGATGACATCGCTCAGAGTGCCTCCATCCATGTACTCCATAACCAGCCAGAGCTGCTCGTTCACAAGGCAGCTGAAAGAAGGAAACAAGGGGTGGAGATGAATGAGCATGTTTGAAAACAAGTTGCTGTTGGAAAACAACAAGGGTTCTTTCCGGGTGCCTTTGTGACGAGGACAGAATAAAAGCAATAGACATTCCCTCTTGGCTGTGCGTTGTTTGCATTCTGTGCAATCTCAAGGAGAAAGGCACAGCTGTGAAAAAGGAGATATCTTAGGTAGGCAGCAAGCGAAAAGTGTGGTTTAGTAACAGCCCAGATAAAAAGCCTGTCACACCTGCTATTTCTGGAAATAAACACCTAGTCTTCCTAGCATGCACAGCAATGGAAAAGGGACAAGAATCCAAGGGAAATCCTCTCTAGGATGATTTATCAGAACTTAAAAGGTGCTGAGGAAAATGTGAAAAAAATCAAGCCTCAAAACAATGTGGAGGTAGTGAACTTACAGGGTATTTGAATTAGTACGATAGGGCTGATCCAGGTTTTTGAAAAATTTTCAAACTGCATTTGCCAGGGTAGTTTAATGCAGACAAAATGCACTCTCTTCCCATCCATTAGAGATAAGTTGAGAAATAATAATTAACCAATAATTACCAGCTCTATTTTCTCCCAGTGACCAAAGTGGGTTTTTAACTTTGCATGATTGCAGTACGTCAACAAACATTGCTGGGATAAAACAACAACCACTCACCTCTTTAAATAATTCACAATGTTTGGGTGCTTATTCATTTTTATGACCATGAGTTCATTAAAGTGTACTTCCTTCCTGATCAGTCCTTGAAGATTTATTTTCTTTATGGCCACCTAAAATCATGTTGAAAATCAGTAACATTAAAAGCTGGTGGCATGAGAACAACTTCTCCCATGGAGTGAGGGATTTTGGAAAGACACAGCCAAACTGTTTCAAACTGCCTTGTGATTAGACATTGGAATGGGAACAGACGCTCTGAACACAATCCCTGCTGCTTCGTATGGGATTCAGAAGAAGTAATCCATGCCTTAATACTCTGTGGATACTTCTTGGGCTATATGGGCAGGGCTTAGGGCTTTTAGGGATGCCTTGCAGATCTCTCCCTATGTGCACTACCCAAGTGCAGCACTGCAGGTGGCTAAGCATCTACCAGTAACTTTCAGATGTATTTGCTGGCAACCAGAAGTGAGAATTCAGGACTCTGAAGCTGTAGCCCCAAAGAGCAGTGAGATGCTCTAAGGCACCACCTTTGTTTTAGCAACTGAGAGCGAGTGAGCACATCCTTCTCTGAAATGAACCGCTGCCCTCCATGCCTTCCTTCTGGCAGCTGAGAAGGACAAAGACTGTCCCAAATGTATTTTGCAGGCTGATACCAGTCTGGGCTTCTTGTGCCTTTTCAGCACAGCTCTACCCAAAGCTCTGTCCACAGCTGCTCACACCAGAGGGGAAATCCCTTGAGTACAGCAGAGTCTGTGGGGGCTGTTGACATTTACCTCTCCTCCTGTGGCAGTGTCGAGTGCTCTACAAACATCTCCAAAAGTCCTAGAAACAAAATAGTAGCAAAGAAAGAAGAGCCATTTAGATCTTGCGGTGAAAGCCAGCCCACAGACGAGATCTCTGCTGTAAATGCCTAAGACCTGCAGGACAGTGTAGCATGGACATGTCTCTGGCAATGCCTTCTGGCCACACTTAAAAATTCTGATCAGCACTGACAATCTAACCCCAGTGTCTGAATATGTTTGCAGCTTGTCTGACTTCACACTTGGTGGATATTCCACCAACAAAACACCTGGTGCATAGTTTTGTAAAATTATCACTGGTTGGACTCACCCACTGCCAATATTTTCCAGTTGAATGTATTTTATAATGGGATTGTCCATCTTCACCATTCTCCCTGAGGGAAAAAACATGCAAGATGTTCACTTTAATGCAGAGATCCCAGCTTCCAGGAGATACAAAAGGCAGCCCCTATGTCTGAGGCTCTGAGCCCTGTGCGATCAGCTGGCTGACAACAAGAACAACAACAGAACAGGAACAACAAGAAGACAGGCAGCACCGCAGCACAAGTGTCCAGCACAGGGACTGATTTTCTAGTGTCTTTCGAAGAGAGAGAGCTCTTGGCAGCAGATACACAGGGAAGTACAGGGAGATACATCCAGAGGAGACAGAGACCAGAAGACAACAGCTTCCAAGGCAAGTAAGTTTGTCATCTAGAAACATTAAGGAGACCTAGAAATAACAAAGCCTTTGTTTTCTTGGGAATAAACACTGTGAGATTCAAGAAAAGGTTTCCTACTTGCTAGGATTAAATGCACCTTGATATCTAGAATCAACTCTGCTGAACACATGCCAAGTTCAGAACAAGAGGAATTTTGCCAAGTGTTCCCATCTTCTCCACCTTGCAGCAGTTTGCCAGAAGGATGCCTCTGTGTTTGTAAAGCAGAGCTGCTCATGCTATAACCAGTCCCAGTGGGGCTTTCAGGACCACAACCCTCACTCTTTATGAGCAGGGTGAGCTCAAAGATACCCTTGCCTGTGCCCTACATGAAGAACCACATTGCTTCTCTTCACCCTGAAGCATGGATCAGTCGCTCCCATTGGACTCGCCCTCTTGACAGCACACAAGTCCCCATCTTCCCAGCTCAGCACAGCAGGCAAGGGCAGAGAGGACAGCAGTGCTCCTCAGGTGGCAGTGTGACACACACAGCTGCCCAGAGGAGATGCTGACCCTCTCATGGCTCCAGGCCATGTGACGCAGAAGCCGGCCCAGACAAGGGGCTGCTGGCTCAGGCAGCTCTGCACTGCAGCGGCCAGGCAGCATCAGGACTCTCCTGGCTAAGGAAGGCTCCAGCCTCTGCAGTCCCACCAGCCCTCAGGGCCAGGGCAGCTACCACAACAAGGCTGGCAAAGCCCAAGCATGAGCACTGACAGGCACTGATGGGAAGAAGCCAGAGCGAGCCTTTTTGTCCCAACAGGTGATGGCAGACACAGCATCAACTAGGCTCTGTTCTCAACCCTACCAGGTCTTATCTGATAGCACAGCACAGGCAGCTGTTATGGGAAAGGAGCAGAATAAATGCCTTGTGCTGCAGAATCACAAAGGGCTTGATGTGTTCTCCTAGAGACTGATCTGAACAGGGGTTCTGCCAATGGCTAGGACTCAAGCGATCACAGCCTTCTGCTGATCCAGGAGCAATCCCTGCTTCTGCCTTGGGCAGAGAGGGAAGCTCAGGCAAACTCTAGCCAGTCCAAGGTGCCCTCAGAGGCAGCAGGATCACCCAGAGCGCTCTCTCGCTGCCTCGGAGCACTGCCAGCACTTCCTGTGAGGAGTCTTAAATGTCCCTGTGACACCAAACTGAGGGGGACCATCTGGTACAGCTGTGCTGACACCTGCACACAATACACTGTCCCTCGGGTAACAAAGACACCAGACATACTCTGTTGCTCCCAGGAGTCACTGTTGATCTCCTGTTGCTGAGCAGCAGCTGGGTCAGTGCGGGATGTGAACCAAGTGCCCCAACTCCATTTCTCCAGCTGGGAAGCAAAGGCTCCTTGGGATGGAGCTGCTGCTGCAGCAGGTTCAGTGACAGAGCCTGTGTAGATCTGAGACAAGAAATGAGTTTGTGTCAGGAAGGTGGCTGGCAGAGATTGCCCTGAGGTCCCATTTCAAATGCAAGCCCTTAGGAAGCTGCTGTCAGCCACATGCAGAGCTCTTCAACAGGACTGGTTTGGATGTCCACTTGTAAAACCAAAAGCTGGTTTTACTTGAGTTCATAGCCGGTTTCATGTTCTGAAGGATGACTGCAGCAATGACTGCTCCACTTCCTCCCAAGGACTCCCCCCCACCTTTAAGGCCTGCAGACACATTGCAGCTCCTCCTTCTAGTGTTCTACCTCCTTCCACGGAATTCTCTTTTCCTGCACCATCCTCGGGATGTGCTTATCTTGCAGCATCTCAGGTTGGTACAGTTCCTGTGCCTCATGCCGGCCTTGGGGTTCTTGGTCGCCCGTCATTTCCTGGAAGTCTTTGTAGGCTGCCAGGTAGGATGGTGACACTTCCACCTCAAGTCAAAGAGAACAAAGCAGTCAGAGACTACAGCTTGTCCCCAGGAGTCATCAGCTGTGAGGAAAGGGAAAGAACAGAACAGGAGCAAATTCACAAGGAATACAGACAGCCTGTAGCTCGTATTCCAAATCTCTCTGAGTGACCATGTTCACCTGCAAAAACACCTCAAGAAACAAGGAGAGCTGGAAGAAGCCAACAGGAGTTCATTTGGATGACTGCTGGCCACATGGCCATAGGAGTAATCCCACTCTCCAGACCATCAAGTGAGATCCAGCAGGCCAGGAATTGTCCTTCAGAGCAGCTGTGATAGAGGCCGCAGAGGGATGGTATTCAGAGGCATCACTCCACCCACCTGCTGCCCTGCAGAGAAAAGGCAAGGAGGGCAGAAACCACCAGTTTGGTGACTGCAGTGGCTATTTCACTCACTTGCTTTTCAAGAGTGTTTTGCTCCTGGAGGAGGAGATTAATTTTCTCTCTGATGATTTCAAATTTTTCATCTCGCCTCTTCTCCCTTGCCTTGATCCTAGCCTCAGTTTCCTGCAGCTCTGCTGGTAGCTGTTCATCAATGTTCTGCAAAGAACAAGAGAGAGGAAGTTTCCTGAGTGGAGTGGCTGTCACTCTTTCACTCACCTGGTTTTGCTGATCACCCCTCTGCTGATGGAGATTCTTCTTCTTTTGGATGGTTCTCATGTCTTCCTTGTTCTTCCTCTTCACTGCCATAGTGTCACTCTTAGCTTTGGGCTGGTTTGCTTGTGGCTCTGCCTTGATGTCCTGTACAGACAAATGCAGAGAAGTAAATGGAAGCTGCCATCAGGCTCAGCTTTTTTTCTCTTGCAGCCTCAAAATCACATTTATTCAGCTACTTCTTTCTGCTTCCCTACCCTCCTCTTGGAGTGCTGATCTCTGCAGATTCCAAGGCTCTGTGCTTTCAGCGCCTCTGAGACTCCTGGCCTCCTCAGTCCCAAGAGCTCCATTTTATGCCCCTCTTCCTGCCCTTCCCTCTGGCACCTGGCAAGTCAGGCTTACCTGGCCGTTCTCCTGTGGCTCTTCCACCTGCTGCCTGAGCTGCTCTTCCTGCTTTTGGGCTGGGAACAGCTCTCCCTGAGTCTGCCGTGGCATCTCTGATAAAGCAGGCTGCTCCTGCTCTTTCTCTGGAAGGACCTGCACAGAAAGCAAGAGAAGACGGGTTTCAGCTTTCCATATGACACTTGTGGGCCAAGACTCAAGGACTGAGGGGCTCACACGTTCCCAAAGCACTGCAGTGCTGCAGCTCCCCTGGGTCATTCTCTGCCCGTGATGAGGCACAGATTCCAAAGTGACCCTGGCACTGCAATCTGGGCCATCTGGGGCTGAAGCCCCAACAGCCTCTCAGGCAGCTGACAGGGAAGGTGTGGCATTTCTCAAGGTTCTGCTGAGGGTCTCCCTCTGCTCCTGCCATGTCCTTTTTTCTTTCAGTGGTGACTGACACCCCACCCCCTCCCACAGCTCCATCCTGGCTCTGCGGGTGACTTCCTGGGTGAGCTCAGCCCTTGTGAGAGACACTTCTGGAGTTCATGTTCTCTTCAGGCCTGCCCCAGCATTCTTGCCTTTCTCACATCCACACTCTTGTTAGAAATGCATGTCATTCAGGAGATAAGGACACATGCAAAGGTCCTCTGATGGAAGTCAGAGAGCCTCTATGGCCACCTCAGTATACGGAAGAGGACCAAGGTGTTTCTTCTCCCTCTTTTGTTAACTGGGAAATTTAACCAGCCCTCACAGAAACTCTCATAAAGCCCCATTAATGAATGCACTTTCACACCCTTAGGAATGCCAGTGAAGGAAACATGAATCATGAATGCATGTATGAGCAAAGTCACCAGACCTCAACTACAGCATGGGATAGTTCCACCCTCGCAGGACATGTAAAACTTTAAAGGATAAATAGGAGGCTGCAGGTCAGAAAGTCTGGAAGAGGAAAACATGAGGGGAGAAAACAACCACCTCTGGAGGGGGAAACATCTCTGCCTGCTCAGGATCAGTCAATGGAACTTGTCTCTCCTCCTCCCCTGAAGGGATGCCTTTAGGTGAGCTTTGCATCCTCAACTGCTTTGGAGCAGAGCCAGGAAGATTCAGAGAGATACACAGACAGACAGATGTCCCATTTTTTAATCTCTCGTTACTATCCTTTCTGTTACTAGACACATCAACACTTGGTGGCCAGTGCCCCAGTCAGCACAATCCTGAACTTGCTCTCCTGTTCCTTCAATAAACCACACTTTCAGGAAATCTGGAGCATTTAGGTGCCTATGGAATGCAATCAGGTCCAGAGTGTTGCACTGGGAACTGCACTCTTGCAGCATCTGTGCTTGGCCAAGTGTTTCTCTTGGACTCGACCACACTGACAGTGCTAAAGGGGCTGCAATCAGAAATAAAGCCCAGCCCCTTCCAGCTCCTCTGATCTCTAAGGACCAGCAGAGGTGAGGAATGCAAGGGCATTGATTTCCTGCGCAGTTCCCAAGCACACACTGATTCCCTGGGCTGCAAAAAGGCACAGGAGCTGTTAACCTGAAAGTGATGTGCAAGGCCCTACTTGCTGGCCTGGCATCACAACAGCTCCTTCAGCAACAACATCCTTGCCCCAAGCTATGTGTTCTCATACAAAAATACTGCATCAGCCAGAACTGCCTCCTTGCAAACTAAAATTCAAACAGAATCTCTGCCAGTCCTGGAAAAGGGCAGGAAAGGTTGAGAAAAAGCACCTTTGTTTGCTGGAAAGAGAGAAATTACACAGGGCTTCTCCTTCTCGCAAACAAACAAACAAACAAACAAATACAAAAACAAAAATATGAAAGTTTCACCTACTCCAGTGTCTAAAGTTCTTAGATGCAGTGAGGGGATGTTTTGCAGCCCTTGAGGTGAGCACTGGATCTATGGATCTATGGTAGGGATCTATGGAAGTGTGCCTGAAGGTCCCTCACCGGCCTGCCGTTGTCCAGGCTAGAGCTCCCTCAGCACCTCCTCCTTGGCCTTGTGCTGCATACCCTTCCCCAGCTCCCATGTCCTTCTCTGAACATGCTCCAGCCCCGCAAGGACTTTCTGCTTCAGAGGGGCCCACAAGTGGACACAGCACTACCAGCTATGGCCGCAGCGCTGCCCAGCCCAGGGGGATGGTCACTGCCCTGCTCCTGCTGCCCCACTGCTGCTGACACAGGCCAGGATGCCCTTGGCCTCCTTGGCTACCTGGCCAGGCACTGGCCCACATTCTTCTGCTCTTGACTGGCACCCCTGGGTCCTTTTGGCCCATGCAGCTCTCAGGCACAAAGAGTCCTGTTTGACTTCAAATACAGCATCCAGAATTTCAAGGTGTACATCCTGGTTTGAGCATTACAAGACAGCAGTCAAGGACTTGCAGCTTTGCTCCTGCTAGAGGCTCCAATGCAGTTTTCAAATGCAGTTTTCAAAGTAGACTACACAATAGAAAGGATCAACAAACACATGCAGCCTCTGGCTTTTTCCTCAGAAGAAGAGTTCAGAACTACACCATTTGGTTTTTTGTGGCCTTCCACAGCTTCATGGACAACACCATCATCTCCTTGCAGCTTATCAAGAGCCAAAAAACCAGGCAGACTCAGAGGCACCTGTCTGCTCTGCCTGAAGAGCTATAAGAACAACCTGGCACCAAAATCCCTGACTCCAAGCAGCAACTCTGCATCCCCAGTGTGTCTCTGAAATACTTCCAAGTGAGCACACCCAAGAGGTTTGTAGGGACAAAGCACCACAAAGAGCTTGTGTGGTCAGATCAACATTATTTGTGCCTGCAGCTACTTGGCCAGTCTGTGGAGGGGGACAGGGCTCTCCAAGCCACAGTGTCCCCTGTGTATCTGAGAAGGCTGAGCACCGTGTCTTTCACATGCTCCCTGCTCTGGGAAGAGAGAGTCTTCATGCTCCAGGCTGGCCCCTACCAGAATGCCAGGAAGCTGGGGCCTAAACATGACAGATCAAAGCATATTTTCCAGCTGTCACAGGCTGCAGGAAATTGCTGTATCCTGGCAGGACTCCAGCACTCAGCATCCTCAGCCAGCAACAGCAAGTGCTGGCTGGTCAGAAACTTGCCACTCTGCCTTGCACTGAAGGCAGCACCACCCACAGCTGGCACTTACTGGCTCAGAACGTTCAGGCTGTGGTGTGACCACAGCTGCAGCCTTGCGGTCATACTGGTCAATTTGCTCCTCTTTGGCTTCTTCTCCAGGATCAGAGGGAGCCGGGGCAGAGACCACTGTTGGTTCTGTGATCTGTGGACAGACAGTAGTGTGAAGGACAGGCCATTATCTATCATGTATAACCTCCTTTCTATTCAGCACTTATTTCTATTCAGCTCTATTTCAATAACAAGCTTTACTAAGGACAAATCAGAAACTTTGATAGCAATGGGATTCTAAGTCACTCTGACTAAATTAAAATGGGCTAATTCAGCTGAACTTCAATTTTTTCTGAATTAGATATTCCACCCTGGCTACTATCAAGAAGCAACATTCTCTCTGCAAAATTGAGCTTTTCATTCCTTGAAAGCTCTGAACTGGAAAAGCAGGAAGTAACCAGCAATGCCTTTGCTATTGCTGCTGCAGACATGGAAATGGTTTTCTTTCAGCCTGCCCAGGTGGCCCTCTACACTCTACTGCCACAGGCCAAAGTGACAGCTTGCTCCACAATTCTTAAACACCACGGAAATGAAATGTTCCTTTCTCACTCACCTCAGGATCTGCACCTCTGAATACATGGATCAGGTGGCCTGTAGTGGAAAAGGTAAAAAGGAACCAGACGCTGTGAGAAAATTGCCTGGGCTGGTGAATCCCACAGAACAAGTACCACAAACCGAGATTATTTTCCGTTTCACAACATCCCTCCAGGTGACACATTTCATTTACACAACCAGCAAGTGATCAAGATAATATTCTTGGGTGTGCCTACCCTTTGGCCTGTTCAGCCATTAAATGGATACAAACATGATCAAGAAAATGCAAATTATTCTTTAACACTCAATGCTTCTGTTCTGTTCAACAGAAAAAGCAGCTTTCGTTGTCTTGTCTTTCAGGTACGTTTTTTTAAAAAAGAAGTTGCATGCGCTAATTGCCCAGAAAAGCTTCCGCAAAATCCCCCTGAGCCCTGACAGTTCTGTTGTGGAAGAGCACAGCAGCAGCTCCAGAGTCCAGGAGGAGACACTGCTTTGGAATTTGCATTTCACTACAAAGAAAATCTCTATTTTAGCGTGTAGTCAAGGGTCATGTTAGGCAGTCAAATCCCTTCATAACAAAATTAAGAATGAAAGAAGCTTTCCCTCAGTTCTGGGGAGAATTACTAAGTCTTTAGAAGGCCTTCCAAGAAGGTCTCCTTTTACATTTTCAAAGCTGTCTTGCTGGTCTCAGGAAACAGGAAATGACAGACTCTGCTGCCCCAGACTCTCCCGTGGAGGGAACAGGACCTATGCAGGTTGCCTTGCAAATGCTGCCCCTGTGCCTACAGTAATCCCCTTGTAGCTGAAAGCCTTGACAGGAGTTTTACCAAACCAGTGGTACCCTAGTGCTTTTTCTGTTTCAAAATAACTCAGGCACTAAGAAAGAGCAGGAAGACATACAAAAGCCAGGTTCGGGTACACCCAGGGAAAAATCTCTACTTACGTGCCAGGTTAGTCAGGTAATAGACGGAATAAGGAACGCTGAAAGCTATGAAAGCTGCAGCAGCAAGTTGCTCAGTCATTGTAGCACTGCTGTGCAGATTTGCTCCAACACTAGAAAAAACATGGCTCTTGTCAGTGCGCAGCTCCCACTGACAAACGCCTCAACCAGGAGGATGCTCCTGTCCTGAGCAAGCCCTAGGGCTGCTCTGACACTGGGGCCTTCCGTGCACCAAGACAACCTTATGATGTCGCCATGACCACATGGCAACCATGCCCTGACATCACAATGCAAGTACTCTATATTGGCCTGTGAATTTATGCAGAGCAATAACCAACCTTCCGTACAGCAAGCGCAAAATAGCCGGGGAAGTTCTCCTCTGTCACCAAGCAGCACAAATTCCCCTCGTGGGCCAAACCCTGTTGTTCAAGGGATCTGAGAGTAACTCCAGGAGTGCACCAAGCACCTACAGCCTGTACCTGAACTGAGCACTCAGACGGGATCCAAGCAAAGGAAATCAGACCAAGAAAATGGCCCAAAGCATTGCACAGAACCAGGAGAGAAGGCACTGTTGGCATAACAGCTGAAATAATTCCTTACAAATCTCCCACATATTTGCACATTTATTGGATATGCCCAGAACTCCTGAGCATGTACATCTCTGCTTTTATTCCCCTTTGGAAGTGGTCAAACTGGCAGCATCTGCCCACCAGCAGGAGCTGCTCCAAGCAGGGAACGCGACTGGTGGTGCTGATTTTCAGAGGCTTCTGTGTCCCAGGAGAAGCCAAGGCAGGAGTGGATTGAAAGGTGCTGGCACTGCTGCTGCTCTGTGCCAGAGAGCCCCAGCTGGGCAGGGTACAGCACTGCAGGCTCTTTCTCCTGCCAGAGCTGGGCACACCTGGGAACAAGGCATGGCAACTTGTGGGGAAACCAAAGGCTTTGTGGGGGCTGCATTGCTTGGCACACACCCAGGCCACCTGCGGCACAGAACCTTTGTCCCCCAAAATGTAAACAAGATGGAAACTGCTGGAAAAGGTTTCATTTCAACCATTATTTAGGCTTCAATAGAAATTACCAAAATGAAAGTTATCAGGCATGGCCCAATCCACACTGCCAGCACAGGATTAGAATGGAGGCATTTTTTTTATTTCAGTGCTGGATGCATGTGGAATCACTTCCCTGAAACATGCACACCCACGTGTTTGTATCCATGGAACTAAGACATATTCATTATTTTGACCAATCCACAGGCTTAACTTTCACACAAAGTATTTGACATATTTAAATCACTTCCCCACAATTATTAACATTTAGAGGAGTGGTCTCGAGGGTCTCTGGTTGTCATTTGGGGAACATCCCATTCCTGAAATTCTCCTTCCATGGTTAAGAGCGTACTAAAGCCACTTTCTTCTCCTTGAATGCATTGCAGCTACGTCCTTAGTTGGCCCACTCTCTTTATTCTCAAGGCTAAGATATCCACTTGCACACATCAATCACTGGTGTGAGGGAATGCAGAACTAAGCACTGTCTGTTAAAGCTTAAGGAAATCACAATTTGTTGCAAGTAAACACTTCCCCAACACCTTTCTCTGTTTTTTTCTGGGAATCAAACACAAGCATTTTGTGATCACTGAGCCCAAGGCCGCCTCCAACTCTCCTGTCACCCACCAGCCCTTCTCTCTTCACAAACTGCAGGTCCAGCAGTGCCTTCCCTCACTAGCTCAGTCACCACCTGTGTCAGAAGTTCACACTCCAGGAACATCCTGGACTCTTTGTTCTCTGATGCACTCTATTTCCAGCAGACATCCCCACCCTGTTCCATACCCCTTGCAGAGCCCTGCACCTCCTATCCATGGGCACCTGGGAAGGGGGGCCCTCAGAGAAGAGCTGCACCCGCTGCACTGGGCAGCAACCAAAACCCCCTCAAGTCACAGCTGCAAGCCTGTATCTGCACAGGATGCTCTGGCTGCCCCACTCCTCATGGACTTTTGGCTGGAAATTTCTGTCTCATGCAGAAATGCTACTGCTGTGCAAACAACAGCCAGTGAGCTCTATCCCAAAGGCACTGCAGTGTGGGGTTGATGAAGGAAGAAGACCCTTCCTCAATTCCTAACCATACCAAAGCCACCGTAAATGGAAGTTTTCATCTTCAAAAAGTGAATGCAGATCTTATTCACAGGGTGACAAGGTGTGGAGTTGAGGTTTGGTAGAGTTTTTATTCTGAGTCCTACTCAGGCTGTGATTTGAACATTTATTTTAAAACGTTTTTTAAAAGGCTGTGCAGTCTTATGGATTTGTTCTAATACCGAAATAGCTATATGAAATGTACTGGCATTTTAATTACATCCAAACTGATTAGTCTGTAAAAGCTTTCCAGCAGATTAGCCACTAAATAAGAAAGGAAAAGGTAATCTGTGGACTGCTGATTTTGCAAATTTCTACTAAACTTACCAGAGGCATTTTTAGTTAGATCATAGACCAAATTAATTCCTGCGGATAACTTGATTTCTACAGACCTGTTGATTTCAAAGTAAAACTGTCAGTACATACTAAGTGGAAATCTGAATACCCAGTTCCATGAGGTCTAATATTAGATACTCATTGTTCACCATATTAACAAAATTAACATTCTGGCTATATTTTTTACTTAGAATCAGCTCTTCTCTACTCTTTGTAACACCAGAAAGAGAGTTTATAGCAATGTGAACCATGGGTTAGTAGGACATTGCAGAAGTGTCAGCACTAAATGTTCACATTTACCATGGTCATGGCATCACTTCTTGCCTTTAATCCCAAGTTATAGCTCAGTTCCCACAGTATAGATTCACACTTGTAGTCTGTATTTGCAGCTGGTTCTTACTTCCCTGTCCAGAAAAAAATCATGTTTGGATCTCAAATCCAAACAAAAAAGAGGGGAGAGTCAGTTTCTGGATAGGTGTAGCAAGAACTACAAGGGGTTTTTTGCAAATATGTTGAGAAGTTGTTTGTACATTGTTATGGTTTGACACTGGCACAATGCCAGTGCTTTTTATGAAAATGTAATTTTTTAACTGAATGCTGTGAAATGTGATTGAGAATAGAGCAAAGCAGGCCTAAGCTTAATAATAAGAAAAAAAAATTTATTAAACTACTACTACTATGCTACTATAAAAGGGGGGGGGGGAGGAAGAAGAAAGAAATACATACAATTTGAAATGAAAATTTTTTAAAGCATTCTTCTTTTTACTACTTAACTTTAACAAACTACAGTGAGACACAATCTGGATCTAAATCAGGTTTTCATCTTTTAGATAATTGACACTCAGTTTATCTGCAGGGAGAGAGGAGTTTTTCTTGTGCTACAGACGCTTTAAGAAACACAGATGCTACATCTTGTGCTTTCATGTTACTATATGGCACTGCTTGGAGAAAAAAAGTTTGCTAGTGGTGACCCTCTCCTTTTTATGTACAGTGTTTTTATTATTAATGCATGGATGGATAGACTGCTTTTAGGATTTTTCTTTTTAAGGATGCCCTGCCAAGAGGGGAAAAAATAATAGTTCAGTTTTTTATTTTTGGGACTAACAGTCCCCCCCCATTTTCCCCTGGGGCTGAGGATTTACAAACAGAGATCTTCTTCTTTTTTTCTTCTCTGAAGACAGGGGGCACTACTACAAATCTCTTTAATTTTTTTCTGTTTGCTCTACTTTTGTCTTTTCCCAGCTGAAGCAGGTTTTTTGGGCTCACCAGCATTTTTTTAAAATACAGTCTCTCTTGGAGGAGAAGATTAGTTCAACCTGTGGCTACTAAGAAAAAGTCTAGCTAAACAGCTACTCTATCATCTCCCCCCACTTAGAATTTTTTCTTCTAACATCCCGGGTCTTAGGCTGTCTCTCTTCTTTTCTTTTTTAAACTAAGGAGGAGAAAAATTTCACAAAGCTTTCATTTCTCAGGAAGGGTTAAAAGTCCCGACTCCCAGAGATGGCTTGCTGCCCAGGCTCCAGCTCCCACAGGCGGCTGGGCACCTTGCGGCCCCCCCCCCCCCCCTTCTCTTTCCCCGCGGTGAACTGCTGATAAAACCACTGCTGTCTCTCTTTCTCTCTTGGGAGAGAGAGAGACTCTGGGGGGAATGGAGACATCTCAGATTTTGTTCACCCTTCCATCTGCAGGGGGCCAACCTGGGTTCTGGTCTCTCCACCCTTGGGCTTACTTCTGAAGGCTACATGGCTTCTCCCCTCCCCTACCCAGCTCGTCGCTGGGCAGGGGAGAGTCTTGCACTGACCGCTGACCGGAACCTAAGAGAGCGAGTTCCCCTGGGAATTCTGCTTTTAACCCCTCTGTGTTCTCAGAGGCGTGTCTACTTTCAATTGGTCAATGTCCAGATTGACCTCTCTCTTCCGGAAAAATTCTTTTTCCGTGTCAAACCACGACAACATACTGCAAAAACAGCAGATGAAAGACTTACACTCTGACTTGCAAACTGAGGTTTGCCTGTTCTTTCTGGATTGATTTCTTGAGGGCAGACACTGAACCTAATCAGTAAGAAAACCAAACCCACAGGGTTAGTTTGGAGAATATTGTAAATTATTCTGTCATGGTGCCTTTTGCCTAAAAGTTCTAGCTTTCATCTTATCAGAGTAATTAGAGGAGATAGAAGCAATCACACTGTGCCTGTGCAGACAATTCTTTCCCAGGAGTAATCCATGAAGCAGTGCTGGCAAACCCACACCAGCAGCTGTAGCCACACAGTCATAAAGAAGAGAATATGTATTTGTGCTACACTTGGACAGCTGAAGATGTTTCTGCTGAGCTGATTTTAGTCACTCCTCACCACAGATGAGACCTTGTGGTGAGTCTCCAAGAAGTCAGGGCAGTTAATATGCTGCCCAAATGAAGTTAGTCTAGCAATACATAGACCATGGAGCCTGAGGAAGCCAACAGCTGTGGGAGATTTAATTTCTTTCTGTAACTTTCTTTTAACTAATTTAATGTAGTCTATTATTTAAATAATGGAAACTTTTGGCATACAATTGTCTGGAAGGTTGGTCAGTCTTCCATTCATGACTCCTCTGAAAGCATCACTCCAGTGTTTTTTTCAGCAACTCTTCCAGCATCATGGCTCACGCAGCATTTCTTGCAGCTCTGGGGCTCCTGGTCAGTGGTGGGATGTGGGGTCAGGGAAAGGCACCAGAAGTGAAAAAAGCAGTGGGCAGAGACTGTGTCAGAGAAAGATACATTTGTTTCCTCTCACTTGATTCAATTGCTGCAGGAACCCTGCTAGTGCCGCTGGTGGGGTGGCCTTATGCAGGGCTAGGCAGAGTTTGGGGCCCAGGGTCCCTCCTCTCTGTGGGACATCAGGGTGTCCTTGGTAAGCAGCCCCTGTCCCAGCTAGGAGCAGAGGTTCTGTGAGTTCTGCCCTGGGCAGAGGGACCAGCTACTGTCATGACCTCCTACCACGAGTCCTCCGGGTCAGGTCCTGCTCTGCAGGGATGGGCACAGGCAGAGGGTGGCTGCAATGGAGCGTGGCTTCCAGTGTGCTGTGTTGGTCTACATTGGAGCCAACAAGGCTTCTGGAAGGAGACTCCTCTTGTGAGCTGCTGGGGCTGGAGCTGGCACTGGCCCACAATGACATTGAGGAGGCCATGGACCAGAGGTTCAGTATGTATGTCGAGGAGGAACTGCAGTACTGGCACCAAGATTTTGGCAACTTGAGCATAGGCACAGAGGGCGTGTAGGATGCTGCACCATGAATTCTTTAATTAGCCATCTCTGGTCCTGGCATATTCCCTCCATCTTCTGGTGCAGCCAGGGCCACATTTGGTCCAGTAGATGACATTGTTCTTTGAAAAATTTGGCCCACACCTTGGGCAGGAGGCCATCCACAGACTCTTCCCTCCTGCTCAGCTGGGGACAGTGCTCCCTGTGGGGAAGATAGAGCAGACATCACAGGGTGATGGGGGCTGTTTTCGGCAAGGGGGCAAGGCCCTCTCCCTGATGGACCCTAGCAATAGTTTGGGGAAGGTGATGGACAATTGTATGTGGTCCTGTTCACCCTACTGAGAAAACCTGACAGCTTCTGTCATTTTTCTGCAGAGTGGGCATGCTGGATTTCTCTTTGCCCACTGCAAGATGCAGCCCAGGCAGAACTGGTGGTGACAGGGCAGAGAAGAATTCACATCCTTCTAAGTGTCCTGTCAGATGGGGCAGCTCCATTCTGTCCCCATGGCCATGTCTGCCTGTCGCAGCAAGAGAGAAGAGCTGAGGACTATGAGCTGTTCCCATCAGCAATCTTGCTTGGCAAGAGCCCAAGCTCAAGTCAGACTGGTTCAGGCTCTGCCACTGCCCAAATATAAACAGAAAGGGATGTTGTATCACAATCCATTCCTTGGTGAAGGAGCTCATAGCAGCCTCAAGAGGCACCTCAGGCACTCAACAATCCAGGCAGCAACATATGGACAGGACACAGATGGCAGTTCATGGCTGGGAGAGCATTTGTAGACATATCCGAGGACAAATTTCCCAGGAACTCTCCACAGTTCTGGAATCTTCGCATCAGCTCTGTCAGAAGCTTCAGCAGAACCACCAAGGGATTAAGCAGCTTCCAGCCACTTTTCCTACCATGCTGCCTGGGTAGCTGGGTTGCTTGCTGCAAAACTCTTTTTCTCCTCTTCCCCAACGCCCTGTGGACACTTGCAGTCAAAATAAAAATCTCCTGGCTCCCTGTATGATAAGATAATCCAGGTTTTTTATTTCCATGCTGGCATGAAAAAAAGCTGTCCTGTGGGTCAGGAGAGGTCAGGACCCACTTGGCCTTCCTGTAGGCTGAGGTGGTCCCAGCAGACAGAGCTGCTGGAATCAGCTCTGCTCACAGCTTGCAAAGCATGGCCAGCCATGGACCCAGAGGGAAGGTTATGTCCTATGCAGCCTGTGCAGCTGGTCTTGTACCAACTGCAATGGGTCAGGCAATCGATTTCTGTGTGCAGTTCTTAGGCTGTGCAGTGTGTGCTCTGCCAGGGTTGAGACAGAAGAGCTGATGTCATTTGCCATGCCTAGAAGGGCTGGAACACAGAAGAACAAATGAGGTCAGAGTGCAGATCTGCAGAGTCCCCAGAAGCCCTCCTGCCATACCCAGGAGGGCCTCCTGGCATTCCATCCAGCTCTTCCTATGGCCAGGAGAGAGCAGGGGCCAATGGAATCAGCTGGAAGGTGCTGTCTACAAATATCCCGTACAACGCTTAAATCTTTCTCTGCTCTGCCTGCACTGCACCTCATCTGTGAGGTGAACTCTTACAAGAACTCTTACAAGATGGGGCAGGAATTGAAGCTTCCTGGCTCTCTACTCCTCCCTGCTCAGCCCCAGCTTACACCCCACTGCCCTCACTCACCATCACAGATGATCTGGAACTCTTCCTGCCATTGTTCCCCCATGCGCTGCCCAATGAGGCCTGGGAACACAGAGCTGTCATGGCCCCAGTGACTCAGCTCCCCCACACCAGTGCTGTCAGCTCAGACACACATCCTCCTCCCCTGGCAGGGCTGGGCCCAGGGCCTTCAAAAACTGTGAGACTACAGGGTGACAGAGGGTAGCAGTGGCCTCAAGGGACTGTGGCCCTGAACCAGGGAGCCAGGGCTCCAAAATCACTGGGCTAAATCCTGTTGGCAGTGCAGCAGCCAGGGCTGTGTCTCACCAATGAACTTGATGGCCATCTCTCGCATGGACTCCTGTGAACTCTGCAGGTATGCCAGGGACTGGCACCAGTACTCATCTGTTGTGTTTCTGTCCTCCACCAGCTGGAGACAGTGCAAGGGCAGGAAGGGAAGGTTGGTACAGACCCTGTGCCTTGGCCAGCTGGTACCTGTGCCCAGGACTGGGCTCTCCTGCTCAGACACTCCAGCAGCTGGATGGTGCCAGAGTTTGAAGGCAGCAGAGGGCTGCCTTCCCTCCATAGTAAACCTCGGTGCCAGTCTGCTGCCAAAGAACAACTTTGACCAGGACTCCATAGGTGCCCTGGATTGTGGGGGAAGGAGTCTGGGAGAGAGTTTGTGAGCTGACAGGCTGACAGGAAGAAGCAGCATGTGGGGTGCAGGCTGCTGGCAATGGGTGCAGGAGTGGGCAGGGGCACAGCTACCAGCCCCACAGGCCTTGGGTACTGAGGGCAGAGGGCTTGTTCAGGCTGTGCTTCAGGTTTTAGAAACATCCCTACCAGGCACTCACTACATCTCCATAGCTGGTCACTCTCCAGAAGTCTCCTGAACTTCCTATTCTTCAGAAACTTGGTCGCTTGAAGCAGGGTTTCCAGAGAGGCCTAAAGAGCAGCAGAGATGCTACCACAGCCCAGGGAAGGGATCTGAATCCCTGCAGGCAAAGCCAGGAGGAGGCTGAAGAGATGCAGTCTGTGAGTCACCAGAGCAGGAGGCAGCTTGGAAGCCTCACCTTTGCCACACACCAGTTCTCATCATACAGGTGGTAGAAGAGTGGCAGCAGACTCTGGTGCACACATTTCTTCAGGGAATCTTTTCCCTCTTTCTTTAGGTAGACTATCATCTCTTGAAAGAGGGAAATGGAGAAAAGTTGCACTTGGCTGGTGTCTTGGTGGAAAGGAAGGGGGCAAAACCTCAGCATTGGGTATTCCAGGCCCACCTGGGCAGGGGCCTGAAAGTCCACAGGGCACAAAGTTTCCTGGCAGCACATAGCACCACGATAGAGGGTACAGTCTTACATTGTCAAAGAGTGGCCGGAGCACCTCAGCCAGCTGCAGACCAATGGGGATGGCAATTGCCACTTTGTTGTCCTGGAGCATCTTCCTGAGCACAGAGAGAGTCAGCCCAACCAGCTCCCCATCCTCATCCTTCAGCAGTTCCATGAGCCTTTCAGGAAAACTCTGCAACCTTCCAGCCTGCGTGGAACACAAGGCTGTATTGCAAAGCTATGGAAGGCTGCTCCAGCAAAACTGTTCTGGTGGTGCAACCCATGCTGCAGCCTTGGGGCCCAGAAGGCAGAGGTCTGCTCCAAAGGACTTGGGCAGCTCCATGGGGAGGCAGAAGTGTTGGGAGCAGCTGGCACAGCCCTCAGAGCCCAGCCAGATTCTAGGTCCTGCGTCACCCAGCATTCCCTACCCAGCCCCATGCTTGCCAGCACATGTTCAGCCAGCTCTTCTCGCCTTCCAGGGACCCTTGCAGAGTATGAGGAGGCCTCTAAGCACCAAGCGACGCATTTCTTTGCAGTCACTCTGCAGATGGCTTGACATGAGCTGCAGGATCGTATCAACCATTTCCTCTTTTTCAAGGTATTGCAGGAACTGAAAGACACAGATTGCATCATACAGTGATGGAGTTCCCAGCTGGCAGGACCCCAGCACCACACAGGGCAGGAGCAGGGTCCCAGGCAGCCCAGCCCAAAGGCAACAGAGGATGTACAGAGCCCCTGGGCTCTGTGCCCTGCACAGATCTCTTGCCCACTTTGCTGTGCCCTCCAGCCCTCGGCAGCCTCAGACTCTCTGACCTTGAGGAGCCATGATGGAAGAGTGAGGGCTGGCACCAGGGTGGCAGGAAACAGAGGTGGAAGTGTCACCCCTGCAGCAAGGGGCCAAGGGCACAGAGCAGAGCCTGTGCTCTGCCCCAGCTCCACTGATAGGGCTCTCCCCACAGCTGTGGCTGCAGGAGATAGAGTGTCAGGAGGCAGCTCAGCGAAGCAGAGCTCGCCATCAGGATCACTTCAACAAAGAATGCCATGGCAGGGACCCACCAGCAGGACTCCTCCCTGCTGAGCAGCATGACCAGGTAGCGTGTGATCATTTCACAGAAGGACCTGGAGACATGGTGCATCTCTCTGGCACAAGGAAGAAGGCAACATTCTGAGCAAGGTAAGCAAGCCTCTCCCAACACTGACTCACACAGGCCTGGTCTTTCCATACCACCACTCACCCAGAGAAAGGCAGTGCCCAACATCAGCAGGCTGTTTTTGGGTAAAGACACTGTAAAAAGCCTCTAGGAAACCATGCCCCCCAGGCTCTGTCACTGCCCCTCACTGCAACCTGCCCTGCCCCAGCAGGCTGCCCTCTGTGGGGCTGCGTGCACAGCCTCCCCTGCTCTGTGCCGCCACCCCAGGGGCCCCAGAAGGCAATGCTGATGCTTTGGGAGGTGGCTGCCCCTGTGCATCTTCTTCTCCCAGCCTTTTTGCCTGCTGGGCCATCCCTTGGTGACAGTGTGGGCTGTCCCATCTGCAGGGGAGAAATGACAGGGGCAGTGAGAAGAAGGAGGCTCTCACCTGGCCAACAGGCCCACTGCATAGTGGTGGGTGTCATTCTTGAGGAGTGTGTCCCAGCCTCTCTTACGTTCAACTGCCAACACCACATCGTCAAGCCACAGACGGCAGAGCAGTGCTTTCACTGTCAGCACCACAAACCTGTGTGCAGAGCAAAGCTCTGATCATGCAGAAAGCCCTGGCACAAGCTTCAGGGGCATGGGAGAGACAGAAAGACTGGGATGGAACACCTTTTGGGGTTGGTGGGAAAGTGCTCTCTCTTCTGCCATCTCCTCCAGAGTATATTGATGTATTCTGGCATCTGCTCTGTGCTGCAGAAAACTTGGACCAGCAGAGCCACAAAGAGGGAGGGGGCAACTATCGATTCCTCTGGGGATAAGGGCAGATGGATGATCTCCCACAGTGCCTTGGTTGCCTGCAAAAAAAAAAACACACAGAAACCGTGCTTGGGCACTGCTCTGGGTCATGGAGGCACCAGCCTGGATGCCCCTAGCCCAGGTTTCCAGTGAACCTGAGGGAAGGAGATGCAGAGATGAGGGAGTATGGAGGGCTGACCAAACAGTGACCCTGGGGGTAAGAAAAGACCTGGGGAGAAACTCACAGTCAGGGCAAAGACTTTCTTTCTGTCCCCATCAGAAGTGCATGTGCTGTGCTCCGGCCAGTCTTCCAGGATGCAGGGCAACTCTGACAGCACCATCTTTGCAGTCCTGCTCGAGGAAATGAGCACTTTCCACATGGTCAGAGCAGCTCTGCAGGCCCAGAGCTTTCTGTCAGTGGGGTCTCAGACACAATACCATGACCTAGGCAGCCACAGGCTGGCCTCCAGCCCTGCCCCTGCCCAGAGCCTCTCACTGGCAGCACCCAGAGATCCTGTCCCTGCCAGTGGGCAGGCGGCCAAGAGACAAATTCTTGAGGGTCAGGGAGGGAGCATGGGAGCAGGCTGGGACTGACATGCTACTGCTGGGAAATGAAGCAGCAGAAGGGTCCTGGAACTCTCCATCAGTCTGACAGATTACATGGGATGGGGCCTACAGAATGATGGGCTGTAAAGGCAGATCGGCCCCATACCTTTCACATGAAGGGGCAGAGCACAGGAGGGTCACAACCATATTGCTGGGGTGTGCATGGGTCAGCTCTAGAAGGGACTTGTCCAGTCTGTGCTCAGAAGACACATCTTTGTTGGACACAAGCCACCGGTGGATGAACTTCACAATGGTTGGCACCTGGAGGAGACACGGAGGAAGAGCTGGATTGCTACCAGAGTGAGCCAAATGCACAGCTTCTGCAGAGAATTGCTTTGCTCCCCACCACACTGTGCTGGCCTAAGGAGCTTTTGGGTGCCCATCTGACCTGGCTTGTGTGAGCACACAATCCCTAAAGGTTCAAGCCCTGGCCACAGCTACTTACATGCTTCAGATTGGAGGTTTCCGTCTGTGCAAGCAAATCCAGCATGGCAGCACAAGCCTCAGCATTATAGGGGTCACAGTGTGCCATGCCCTCAATGGCTGCAATGGTGGTATCTTCCTGTTCATCATTCTTGACGTATTTCCAAAACTTCTGTAGAAGGAAGGGCCAAGAAGAGAGAGCTGTTCATCAAACACCACAGTGGTGGTGCTCAGCTGTACAGCAAGAGCACAAGGCAGGGATGGCTGTGGGTACCTGAGCTCTCTTTCTGAAACGCCTTTGGGTGCGCTTCTGGTCTTCTGTCAGGTCCTCAACTGGGTCTGGCAAAGACCAGGCACAGTCAGAGCTGAGGAGCAGTGGGAAAGGCTGGAGAACACAGCTGAGCCCCCCTGGAACCGCTCCCCAGGCAGGCCCAGCACAGGGAGGCTCGATGAATGGAACACGACTGCCATGGGGCATCAGCCCCATCTGCTCTTCCCCTTCTCCCTGGGGATGTCCACAGGGGATGGGATGGGGCCAAGCCAGCTGCAATCACTGGCCCTGTGACCCAGCTCTGCCATTCACCTGCCTGCACCAGCTGGAACTTCTCCATCTTTTCAGGAGGCCATTTTGGGGCAGCCCCTGGGCCTTCCTCTTCCTCCTCCTTCAGCCAGGCTTGCCCAGGAACACTGGAAGGTTTCCCTCTGCCATCCTGCTGTCTGGCCTTGAGGGCTCTGGACATGGGGGCAGGAGAAGTCTACAGAAAACACAAGGTTAGCAAGGAGGAAGGTGGCTGCTCGGGGGATCCTCACAGAGTCCTGTGCTGTTTCATCGTGTCCTTGTCCTGTCACATTCTTCAGGCACTGTGGCTGTTGTTGCCAGCACCCATTTAATGGTGGATAGATAAAGGCCCTGTGACACACTGCCACATGGCATCCCATCAGCAGCGCCTATGTCACAGCATGTCACAAAGGGCCCTGTAACCACAAGTGCCCTGGTGCCACTGCCCCATCCTCTCAGTGCCTCCCAGTAGCCCACTTTTCAGGGCCACCCAACATTTTGGTATCTTTAGTAATGGTGGAGATGTTTTATACCTTCCCTGAAGAGGTATCAAATGAGTAATAGTATTTCTAAAGCAGTTAGTGGTGATTTCAGTCCAAAGGAGAATGTTGTTTCCTTGTAAACAGATTTATAAGGCTGTGTATGCAAGATGTTTTTATGTTTAGGTTATGGAGAAGATAATATCAGAACCATGACATCTGTGTGAACTGTACAGTTTCCAGACAGAGTGGGAGAAGGTGTGTTCGGAAATCAAACACTCCACAAGGCAGGTTGGAACACCCTGAGTTTCCTGAAGCTGTGGTGAGACTTCCCCAGGTAGAGGCACACCTGTGCTGGGCTCCCAGTGAAAACCAGCTTTGTTTAACACAACAAAGAGCACAAATCCAAAGCTTTCCTAAAAGACAGAGATCTTACTGTTACAGAGAAAGTAACTGAATGAACACCATAGACATGCTATGAGTCAGAAAACAAAAAGCAGCACACTCCAGTCTAAACAGGGGTTTGGAATAACTGTTATTAGTTCAAGGTATTGATGTTAATAAATAAAACAGATTTAAAGGAATTAAACTATCTAAAATGACAGCTGTTGTAAATAAATTCACTTTCATAGGCAGAGTTAGTAATGGCTAATTATTACAAAAAGTTACTATGGATTATTAATTAATATAACAAGTTGTTATATACTTAATGTGATAAGTTATTGAGTTGAATGTACCGCTATTTAAGTATGCATTTATGGCTACTAAACAGAGAAAGAGGGTTGGTAATAAAGTGCAATAGTAAGAATCTTCTAGAAAATTTACATCATAGTGTGATGACAGCAATTCATACTATGAACTGAGAAACCAGCCACCGAATAGGATTGCTGTATTCCAAAGTGATTGGTCAGACTGTACCATCTTACAGAGCTATCAGCAACCAAGAAAAGGACTGATCAGCAAGAGGATCCAAAGCGCACCAATCAAGCAACCCCAAGAGATTTTAAAAATCCCTGGGTGGGACACACCCGTGGTCTTTCGAGGGTATCTCGTGTCTGGAGAAACACCTTGTTACACGGTAGTGTTACAGTTACCTCTGGCTTTTCCCGCAGGCCCTAGGCTTGCCCTGAGACCTCATCTTCTGTTGTTCTAAACATGCACTTTTTTTTTTTTTGTAAGTCATCAGCCTCCTATTAATTTCATTTTGCCTGTTTACTACAACAGTGATTTCAGGTTTGAACTGTGAAAACTGTTGTGTTGATTTCAGACCAGAGGAAGAGAACAATTTCCATCATCCATCCTTTTTTTCTCCACCTCTTCCAAATGGTGTTATATAATTGTTTTCTTTTTCCTTCTTCTTTCATGGTCAGACAAAGATTTACTATAAAAACATCAGTTTACCCAAGAAAGCATGTTCTCTTTTCCACTACTTGAATGAGGATGGTTATTGCTCTCCATGGGGCTCAGAATTAGAATCAGATTGGCCATGTGGCAGAAAGCTGGACATATGTGAGAGCCGAACACCCACACACCCCTGCTTTTTGTGGTAGGATGGCTCATGCTCCTCTTTTCTCAAAGCATTTTCACCTCTTTCTCCTTGTAATTGTATATCCTATTATTTGTCCAGCACAAATACAATTAAAATCTAAATCTCAGAATTAAAAAATCAGCCTTGCATTCTGATTTACCCGAAACAGACACATTTGATTGAAATTTTCATCATTTGCTGTGCTGTCTGAAAAAAAAAATCACATTCTGTCATCAAAATAATTTTGTCCAATAAATTTGCCTTATTCAAAAACAATGGCATTGCTCTGACTTTAACAGTGGTAATTTTGCATTTTGGCTTTACAGAAGCACATAGTCCTCAGCTGGTGCTAGGGAGTACTGAGTGTGCCTCAGACCTCTGAATGTGTGGAGTTTGATTGCTGGAGTGCAGTGGTTTAACAAACATTCCCAAAGTCCACATCTGTTCCCATAAACAGCAGGAATTCAGAGGAAATGGCTTTGCTCCTTTTCACCTGTTTATCTCCACACACCAGTCAGTCACTGTAGTCACTCCCCTTGTGCTCTTGAATGTTCTGCGTTAGTTAGCCCTGTCTCGATGTTTGATTGGTTTACAAGGCTTCTTCCCTTCCCTTAATGATCCCTACTGGTTGTGTTAAGTGATGTAATCCTCCCCTAAGATCCCCTCATTGGATGAGAGTTGTATCCACCCCTTGTACCATCCCCTCTTTAAAAGTATTAGTCGGATCCATTTTTGTTGTCACGTGCTCCTGACCCCTTCTGGGAATAAACCTTCCTTGGAAACTGACTCAATTGATCCTTCCCTGCTTCCTTTGCCTCGGATTCCTCATGCTGTGCTCCTGCTGCATCACCCACGCCACAGCAATCACTGCCACCCTAGATGGTCTCTGCAGAGATCAGGGGCAGCCACTCTTGTGTGTGCCCTTTGGCCACTAAGGGCACACTAACCGTCAGACTTCTATTCTGTGGCCACAGTGTGGTACCACAGGTTTGGTTTGGTTTGGTTTGGTTTGGTTTGGTTTGGTTTGGTTTGGTTTGGTTTGGTTTGTCTGCTTATGGTTTTAGCCTGAGACCTACAGTATACAGAAAGGTAAAATCCCAAGCAGGTGCACACCTGGAAAGCAGCTGGATGCATAAGGAGGCAGACTTTCATTCCTAGCTTTAATAGAGTAAACCCTGCTTTGTTTCTTCATTTCTTCACTTGAGCTTTTTGCAAATATTTGCATTTTCTTTATCCTAAATACTGACAACATATGCTTTAATTTTTTGCTCTATTTTACTTCTGCTTAGATCTAGAATGTCTTCAAGTTCCTCTGATAAGAAGACATTCTCTATCGAAGGACACAGAAAATATATGAGATGATGTTTTGAGTCTATGAAATGTCCAGGTCCCCAGTACTTCTCTTGACATGAGCTGCAAGATGCAGATAGCCAAGCTGATATTCCTGGACAAGAAGAGGGAGATATATCTTCCATTGCTCAGCAAGTAGTTTTCACAGCAAGAAGGATGCAAGAGGGCACCTGACCCCCAGGAGCCCTGCAGAATTTGTCTGCCTCCCTCAGTTTGTGTGTCACTGAGAAACACACAGGCTCACAGCCACACATCTGGATGAGGAATAGTCTGTACCATTTAAAGTCCAAGAGCAGTATTCTAAAATCACTTCTGAGCTACCTTAGGCAGTGACTAAACTATCTGTGACAGCAGCCAGAACAAGATGTGATTATTACTGAAAACTCCCCCTAATCCCAGTTTTGTTCCTTTGCCACAGCCCTCACCAGAGTATTTCATCATGACCTTTAGTCCTCCTGGAGCTACCCAAGCAACAAATGCCACTTCCCCTTGGCAGAGTCACAGACAGCCTGAATGGGCACAGGTGATGAGAATTTCTTCCACTTGAGGTACCTGGGCTCTTAAATGTGCCTGACACACTTCCACTAGCTCAGCTCACTTGAGGGATGATAACGATCCTGGCAGACCTGAACAGCACGTGCAGCAGACAGGGTGACTCCAACCAGGGCATCACAACTTCAGGTTTAACAAGACCTGTGCAGTCATCACACAAAACAGTTCATGGAGATACTCAGCTGAGGCTGGGGAATGTACAGAGAGATTTTATCAGGGGGCAGCAGCACAGAACAACCTGAAGTGGTGGTTGCAGACAAAACAAACCCAAGTGAGGAAGCAGAGAAAGAGGCAGAAGTTGCTTGTGAAGTTCAGCATAAAAGCATTTCACACCAAGTTCATCCCAAAACTGAGGTGCATTTTCAGGGCAGTTACCATGACTTTTGTTTTGCAGTTTTGTTTTTTGTATAAAAGACTTGATGTTCTCTCTTGTTACACTTTACAGTCCAGAGACTAAGGCGGCCACCTAAGTGTTGGTTTCAGGTGTTTTGAATTCACTGGAGTCAAAAGCATGGGTACTCTGTACCTGGTGTTGCAGGAAGATTGCCTTTGACTGATGGGATTCTACCTCCTATGCAAATATTTTTCGTTATGTAAAAGTAAAATCTGGAGTCTAGGTGTTCCTATACTGGGTTTAGACCACACCTGTAAAAAGGAAGAAAATTACGAAGATTCTCTTTCCCATCCTGTAGACAAGGAATCCAAGAAATACATGCTAAATGCAATTACTTCTTACATGTTTTCCAGGAATCTGTTTGCCAGGAATTTCTCACTTTAATCACTCATGAAAGTCCAAATACAGACTCCAGGTAAATTGGTCAGAAAAATAGACATTTCTTTCTTCAGCTTTTACTATTCACAGTGCTGCAGTTAGACCAAGTAACCTAAAACATTGGCAGGAACACCCTTTGCCACAAGTATAGTGTAGAAATAAACAGGAAAGGATGGATTCAGGACTAGCAGTTAGCTCCCAGAAGATCAGGAAGGATTTGATGCCCACTACACCTACATCAGCCTTAAGGGATACTGCTATCACAGGAGGAAAAAGTGTCTAAGCATGTGAGATGAAAAGGTGAAGGCAGTGACATAGCTGTGTGCAAATCAGAAAATTGTGTCTTCCCACACTGCAAGGAGATCTTACATGCTAGCATGTAATAGGGGAGTTTCAGCTGTAGAACACATTAATGTATGGCAGATACACTGAAAATACTAATATTTTCTAACAGCTTCTCAAAAATAAGTCAGTATAGACGGTTTTAATGTTGCCCCTGTTGCATGTAATACCAGGAGACTAGTGAAAAAAATATATTTACATAAAACACATTTCACTTTCAGAACTGTCTGTTCTTTAACTTGGAACTGATAAATATTCACCAGTAGGAAAAACACTAAAATTGCATTTTCAATGTGGTAAAATTGTGATTCAAAAGCTACAGTGTTGTATAAGGAAAAAGGAAAAATATGGAACAATAATACTTAAAATGATCAGGCCTATACATTCTGTTCTTTAAAAATTATTTTTAAAGGGGAAAGAAGTAATTTTTAGAAAAAAATCTGAATCTAAACCCATATACCACAGTTTTAAGGATTTTTCTTTCCTAAAAATTAACAACCTTTTTTGTTGTTAATTTTAAAACAAATTTTTGGCCCAAAAACTGAAATGTAATTTCCATTATTTACCTAGTGATGTTTGTAACTGACATTAAATTCTACCAGTACCACAGAAAACTGGGGAAGAGTCATGCTGCCAGACATAAGGACATTTCTTTTGAAGTTTCAGTATCCTTAAAACACAGACAAGGGTAACTTCTCATTCTTAACCACAGACTACTGTAGAAAAATCAATGGAACCATAAGTACACTACAGGTGTGACTAAGCATTCCAATGGACAATCCACTTTTCAGCCACCTGCTTCCTTGTCCGTAGTAGGGCACAGGGCTAGTATTCATGTGTTTTTCATGAGTCACAGAGATTACAAAAGAGGTCTTCAAAGTGAGGCTTTTCTTGATGAAGCACCACATAGATGGACATGTGGGAAATAAGGGCCATGAAACATGAAGAAAGATATCCCTTCTTTTCTGAACTCCTGTCTTCTCCTTTTTGCCTGTTCATTAGAAATTGTGTTGTAATTCAGTTGCTGGGATAATTTTTGTGAAGGTTGTTACCCTATGTTTAAAGAAAGACAATCCCCATCCCACCGAGGTGGATAATTCGAAATTCAGGTTCTGTTTTAAGCTATTTAAGGTGATTTGGGAAGACATTTTCTAGGTAGTGGGTTTCAATTTTTCTAAGAAAGCCAGAACACAGAGATGACAGAGCATCTTTAAAACAACTGTCCAAAAACTTCTCCAGAATGTGATGAGACCAACAATCTTTGTGTCAGCATGTTATCCACAGGGCAGTGACTAAAGTGACAGGGCTGGACTCCTCACAAGGAGATGTGGAAGGAGGGTGAGAGAAGGAAGTGTCAGCTGGAACTCAAGTCAAGCTGGATGTAAGGAGAACATCCACTGTGTGTGTGAGATTAGCTTCTGCCGTACCACCAAATATACTCACACCAGCCCTCATGGCTAAATGATGTAAAGACATTTTAAAAAGGGCATGAACTAAATTTGATGAAAGGTCTATATTTTTCCTGCTATGAGAACTGTTTCTGGTTCAAGAGAGAATTTAAAAGAAAAAGAACAAGTGACACTAAGCACAGATCTTTGCAAGACCACCTATTTTAGTTTACATTGAAATGACTTGGCTGCAGAAGGGATTTTGCATTGTAATTCTCCCCTGATTGGGGAAAAAAAGAGGAGAAGAATTTTTACCAAGGAAAGAAAAAGGTGAAGCCTCTTGGTGAAAACACCAGGGTGAGTTCACTATAACTGTAGGCAATTAATCCCTCGTAAAAAGCAACATCCATCCAGGGGGCAGGATTTTAGCTTTGATGAAAATGCTGACAAAATTGCTGCCCCTTCCTGTTGCTGCTCTCTCTCCAAAGAATCAGAAATGTGCCAAATCTGCTGAAGACAGGCAAAGACAGTGTGAAAGAACCAGTTGGTGGGGAAAGGGGCAAAAATAATTGTCGTGGTTTGACACGGAAAAAAAAATTTTCCGGAAAGAAGAAGTCAATTTAGACATTGACCAATTGAAAGTAGACACGCCTCTGAGAACACAGAGGGGTTAAAAGCAGAATTCCCAGGAGAACTCGCTCTCTTAGTTTCCAGTCAGTGTGCAGCGCAGGACTCTCCCCTGCCCAGCCACGAGCTGGGTGGGGGAGGGGAGAAGCCATGTAGCCTTCAGAGGTAAGCCCAAGAGTAGAAGGGCTAGAACCCAGGCTGGCCCCCCTGCAGATGGAAGGGTGGAGAAATCTGGGATGACTCCGTTCCCCCCCCCAGAGTCTCTCTCTCTCCCAAGAGAGAGAAAAGAGACAGCAGTAGTTTTATCAGCAGTTCACCGCGGAGAAAGAGAAGAGCGGGGGGGCCGCAAGGTGCCCAGCCGGGCTGTGGGAGCTGGAGCCTGGGCAGCAAGCCATCCTTGGGAGTTGGGACTTTTAACCCTTCCTGAGAAATGAAAGCTTTGTAAAATTTTTCTCCTCCTTAGTTTAAAAAGAGAAGAGAGACAGCCTGAGACCCGGGATGTTAAAAAAAGAAATTCTAAGTGAGAGGAGATGATAGAGTGGCTGTTTGGCTGGACTTTTTCTTAGTAGCCACAGATTAAACTGATCTTCTCCTCCAAGAGAGACTGTATTTTAAGAAGATGCCAGTAAGCCAAAAAGACCATGCTTCAGCTGAGAAAAGACAGAAGTAGAGTGAACAGAGAAAAGTTAAGGAAGTTTGTGGTGGTGACCCCTGTCTTCAGAGAGGAAGAAGAGAAGAAAATCTCTGTTCGTAGATCCTCAGACCCCAGGGGAAAATGGGGGGGACTGTTAGTCCCAAAAATAAAAAAACTGAACTATTGTTTTTTCCCCTCTTGGCAGGGCATCCTTAAAAGGAAAAAAAAATCCTAAAAGCAGTCTGTCAATCCATGCATTAGTAGTGAGAGCACTGTGCATAAAAAAGAGAAAGTCACCACTAGCAAACTTTTTTCTCCGGGCAGTGCCAGCATTTCACAGCATTCAATTGAGAAATTGCATTTTCATAAAGGGCACTAGCATTGTGCCAGTGTCAAACCATAACAATAATATAAATTCTCTCCTTTTCTCCATTTCGCCTTCTCCAATTTGACCTGTCTGCTTTGAAGTGGGGAACTCTGTTTGCAATCCCAACCAAAAGAATGAAGCAATTCAGTCTAACATATTTTTCCTCCCTTCAGCCATCCAGCAATGAGAGTGATTTTGCCTTCATTAGAGAAAGAGCAAGAGTTTCCCATGGGATTCCTCAATTTGGACCTTTCTGAAAGTTCCTGCGCTTGCCTTGGCGGTTTGGGGCTGTACTGCAAAGCAAAGGCACAAGGATGACTGTAGCCAGGGAAAGAGAGGGTTTGCACCTGGCCCTACCGTGCTGATCCAGCCCCGGGAGCCGCCCCACCCGCGCTGTTCCTGCGGCCCCAGCTCTGCCGTGCTCGTCCCCCGTGCCGGGGGAGGGGGGGGTGGAGGGGGGGGATGGGGTGGGGGGTGGGGCGAGCGCAGCGCCCCCCGTGGCGCCTGGTGAACAGCCCCCGCATCCGCTTTGTGCGCTGGGACAGCCGGGCCCAGGGGCTGCTCATCGACCGCTCCCTCTTCCAGCAGGAGCTGCTCTGCCCGGGCGGCGCCCAGGGCCCGGCCCCGCACACCTGCAGGGCCACGCAGTTCCGTAGCTTCGTGCACCAGTTCTACCGCTACGGCTTCCACAAGGTGCCGGGCTGGGTTGGCTCAGCTGTGCCAGGCGATGCCGGGGCCCGGCTCCACTACAGCAACCCCTGCTTTCGCCGCGACCGCCCCAACCTCCTGTTCCGCATCAGGCAGCGGCCGGCGGCGAGGCGGGAGGGCCGCAGGCGCCCGGCCTACTGCTCCCGGCAGCTCCCTGGGACGCGGCTGCTGCCGGACGGGCAGGACGGGCGCAGTCGCTTCAAGCCGCTGCCCAGGGAGCGGCCGCCACCCGCCGAGCGGGACGTGCTCCGCATCCTACCCTGCAATTTCCTTGGCCTCCATGGGGAGCAGTCGCTGCCGTTCAGGTGGCAGGGACCCAGCAGCCACTTCCAGGAGTTCTGCGGGGAGCAGCTGCCGCTCACCGAGCGGGAAGTGCTCAGGATCCAGCAGCTTTCAGCAGCTCTACAGGGAACAGCAGCTCCCAGCCTACGACCCCTGAGGTAGGAAAAGAGTTTATAGCCTGGCTTTTCCAAAAGGTCATGAAACATGACTGTTTGAAGTACAAGGCTCTGTCATTCTGAGACAGAAGTTATTAAGTCTACTAGGAAGCCAAAAGATTCTCTGCCGGGTTTTCTGTGTGCTTCCCGTGATGTTTCATCCAAGGCAGCAACAGATCTGTGTCCCAGAGCCACACTGTGGAGCCTGACCAATGTGTTTGGATTCTTGCAGCCACACTGGGCACTTCAACCCCCAGCGCTCCACCTGGCAGTGCAGGTTGTGCAGCATCGACAGCCTCCAGCTCAGCCTGGAATGCACTGGGGAAAGAGGAATGGCCACCAGCAGATCTGTCGGAGTCCAGAGCATCCCTTTGGCTGCCTCGGATGCCTTGAGACCCTGGCAAAGGGCTCAGGAACCTTGGCAGCAAGTCAAAAACACCTGTGGCTTAGATTCTAGCCCATGGGAGAGGCTGCCAACCTTATATGAGGAATTACAAGCCAAAAGCGTTTGAGTAGTGTTATGGACAAATTCAATTGGGGAGGCCAATTATAGATAAATCAATTAACAAAAATTTATTAAGCAAGTGGTAGTAAGGAAAAGGCAGTGCTTAGGTGGCTGGGGAGTCTCTTCTCCACCATGGCGCGCACCCTCCCCCTTTGATTTTTTTGTTTTTATAGTCCTTTTTTCTTTTTTTTTTTTCAGTTGATGTATTTTCTCTCAATGCACTCTGTGCCTGTGCAATTGGTTGCTAGGGGGTCTTTTTTCTGCCCTTGGTGGTCATCGGAATGAAGGCTCCTCATCTTCCTTGCAGATTGTCCTTGGCCTAAAAGTTAACTTGTATATAATTAGTTACGCAGTCTTCTATGCTAGTTGCATCTGCACAATTCTTAAGCAGGATACTTGCTGGTTTGGTTTTTTTTTTTCCCCCCTTCTCCTTCTCCTCCCACATCTTGAAATTCCCTACTCAGTTCAAATTCTTATCTCCTTCAATGCTCGTTTTGATGAACAAAGACCTTTTTATTTATTACAATCCCTCATTTTTCTCTTTACCAATTTCTTCATTAAAACGCTTTAACTCTTGGTAGCTTAAGACCAGGGTTTCATCTACTTCTGAGTCCCTGGGCAATGCTTCATACCTATCTCTAATAAGCATTCGATGAGCTGCCTCTAATCTTCCTTTTACAATGTCTATGATTTTATTAAAAGTGCAAGGTCTGAAAGTTAAACTTAGTGACAACAATATCACAGGACCTGCAAGAGTTGATAGTAGCGTGGTAAGCCAAGGGGAGCTATTAAACCAAGTCTCATACCAGCTTTGCTGTGCCTCTCTCTCCCTCTTTCTCCATTTGAGGTCTTCCCTTAGTTTAGTCATTGTATCTCTCACAATTCCCATGTGGTCTGCATATACACAGCATTCCTCCCTAAGAGCAGCACATAATCCTCCTTGTTGCAAAAATATTAAGTCTAATCCTCTATGATTTTGTAATACTACCTCTGACAGGGATCTTACAGACTTTTCAAGGGCCGAGATCGACTGTTCAATGCGGGCTAAATCTTCATCTACAGCCATCCTCAACTAATTGAATTGATTCTGCTTTACTAATGATGCCACCCCAGTGCCAACACCTGTTCCACCTACAATCATTAGGGTAGCTACTGTCAAGACTGTGAAGGGTTCCCATTTTGATAAGTGGTGTTCAAAAGTGATTTGAGCATTAAACACATATTCCTCAGGATGATAAATGATTTTAGGGACTATTAACACTTGTATGCAAAACTCAGAGATTTTGTTGAATAGGTCAAGAGCAATACAAGGTGTAAGCCCCCCTCTGGAGCATATCCATTTAGTGGTTTTGGCTGAAATTAACCATTTTGCCAGGTTACCCCTCGCTGTGCCTTACTGATTGTCTTACATAAATGTTTTGGTATTTTTCCCCACAGGACCCTCCCTATGCATCGTCCCTTTCCAGTTACTGCTGCTAATATTTGTTGCCGCGCAAAACCGGCTCCAGGCGGGCGCCTGTGGGGCACAGTGGGAGGAGGGGAGAGGCAGCGGCCACTTTCCCCTCCGCTCTGCGAGGCTCAGTTCTAGCGCAGGAACAGGCGAAATGGCGACACAGGGCTCGGGTGCAAACACGTGTTTATTGTAGAAGTGTGTTCCCGAGACCCCGGGGCACCAACCGAGGGTCAGTTATACCCCGTGGTGGGGGCGGTGGGGGGAACCTGAGCCGTGGCCAATAGGATGGGAAGCACGGGACAGGGGCAGGGAAACCCCGGAGACTGAGATGGGAAAGGTGGGGGGAGTGATAAGGAACGCAGGGTCAGGACAAGGGACTGCAGGGGGAGGGCGAATGGGGGCGGAAAGAAGAGAAAATTACAAATCCCACAAATGTTATTCCTTGGGTCTGGGGGTCCTTCCAGTTACATTGTGAAGGATTACTTCTATTAACTCACTTGGGTTTTTCATTGAGCCCTATTGCCTCATAGAAAGGAGGTTTAATATCAAAGCACAGCCAGCATTGTTCAGTAATGTTAGGTCGTGTTACGTTGAGGACTTGTAATGCTGCCTGCATAAGTTTCCAAAGGGTACTTTGCTGGGGATCCGGGGTCGGGAGTATGAAGGTCTTGTTTCTGGGCATTGTGGTGTCAACTAGTCCCTATAGCTGTCTCGGTTAACTCCTCCTCGGCAATTACAGAGTTAGGGCCAATGGGTAGAGGATCACATGATAGGATTTCCTTTTTTATTTTAATATACCCTCCACGATCCGTGTTCCCAACACCTTACTCCCCAGATTTTTCCTACCAGCCATCCTGGGTCCGGGGGTTGAGCACTTGTATTTTCAGGGGCCTGCAATTCCCCTTATACAGAATTTCTCCTTGAGTGCCATACCATGGAGTATTGCGAGTTTTGCATCCCTCTGGGTATCATGAGACCTTTAAAAATTTATCTGGATGGGTGACAGCTCAGGCGGTTGCTATGGTTTCACAGCCCCAATACCCACACAGATATTCCCCAGGATAATTACAATATCCCCTCCCAGGACTGGAACTAGGACACCAATAGGTAGCCCAGAGTTCAGGTTTACTCCATCCCCACATAGAGTTTACCCAAATCCTCATTAGTAACAAAAAAAATGGGAGCTACAGTGGTGGCATTATGCTTAACAACTTTCCCTTGGTCTATTTTGGTCAGAGTCCAATTAAATGGCTGGTGTGCGTAGTCCCCTTGTACAGGCCAGGTACAACATATAACTAATATGCACAAAATTTGCCAGCAAGGGTGGAGTCCAAACCACCCCAGGATTTGATTATCATTATCTCCCCATTCCCAGTGTTTGTTTTGACATGTTATTGCCAGGCTCACCTTTACCCTTGGGAGATCAGTATCCTTGAGGCAGTTCTTGAAATACATTTGAACTGTCCCAGTTTGAGGGCTCTTTCCTCCACCGCTTCTTATCCCTCTGCCTCGCTCGCTGACTCAGTTGCTTTGAGCCGCGAGGCATGCCATCTTCTCAGCAGCAAGGATATTCTTCAGGAGGACCCCTGCTCTGTTTTTGTTGCCTCTTTTTGAATGATTCCCAGTTTTTATCCTTCACTTGTGGTGAGTCACACCGAATCCCAGGTAAAGTTTTCCAGCAATTCCCTTTTATAATTTGAACAATTAGGGAATTGATTCATTGGAGTGGAAACAACAATTTTCAGGCCTAGCCCACTTAGTAAACACCTCCCACCACTCTTAGGAGTCTCTTGGTAGGCTCCCGTTCTCTTCTCCAGTCTTTAGGACTGACTCTGTCAGTTCTCTTTCTAATTGATAACACCCTTTACAAATACCTCTAGGAGAAGTGCCTTTATAACTATGGACCCACCACCGTTCCTGGCAAATTTTACAAACACAGCATACAAAAGGGCAACAATCACAATCCTTATTTGTACAATATACTCTAAAATCATTAGTTATAGGATATCCATAATCCAATATCTCACTATACCAGCTGGTTTGTACAATTTTTAACGAGTCCATTAAGTCCGTTTAAATGTGACCTTAAGATCCCCGAGTTGGCTGGCTATTGTCCAGGGGTCTTTGGCAGCAGCAGTAATTGGTCCCTTTATTTGGCTACCATGTGTCCATCCCTTCTCGGCGGTTCTGACTGCAGTTTCTGTAGTGAGTAAAACAACATAGGGGCCTTCCCAATTTGGGGTCAGTGAGGTTTCTTTCCAGGTTTTTATTAACACCTTATCACCTGGTTTTATATTATGGATTGCTAGGTCTAAAGGAGGTAGTTGCACTAATAACCCAGCTCTTCTAAGCCCTTCCCAAGCCTTCGTAAATTGCATGACATATTGGTTAATTTGTTGATTACTTGTTTCAGGGTGATCTATAGGAGAATCCATGTCATAAGGCATCCCATAAAGCATTTCAAATTGAGAAATTCCAGAATCGGTTCTGGGCTGAGTTCGTATATTTAACAAAGCTAAAGGTAAACATTTTACCCAAGATAACTGTGTTTCATATATCAATTTAGTTAGTTGTTTCCTAATTTCCCCATTTACCCTTTCCACTTTACCTGAGCTTTGTGGATGCCAGGGAGTATGATATTGCCACTTTGTTCCTAGAGCTGTAACTACTTCTTTAATTATTTTGGAGGCAAAGTGTGGCCCTCTGTCTGAGTCTATTAGTTCTGCTAGTCTGTAGTGGGGGATTATATCTTCTAATAGTATTTTTACTACTGTTTGTGTAGTTGCCCTGGAGGTAGTGAATGCCTCTACAAAGTAAGTCAAGTGATCTATTACACCAATAAGTGTTTATACCTTCCTACTTTAGGCAAATCAGTAAAATCAATTTGAATGTCAGAAAACAGTCTATGTGCTAATTCCCGTTCTCCCATTTCCCACACCACGCAGGATTTCTCACACCTGGGTCTACTCCTGGGTCAGGGATCTCATCAGCCCCTCTAGAAATCTCAGCCTTCATTCTAGAGAGACTGCAGATTGTATAGAGAAAGCTTATCAGATTAAACACCAGAAAGATGGTCTCTTTAACATCAGGGGAAATGGAATATTCTCTAATAGGGAAGTAACAGATTCAGAGGAGAAGAAGGAAAGCAAAGGCTGAAAAGCCTCATCCCCTGATTCCCCTCTAACAAACTGGCTGTACAACCATGACCATGAGCCATACATGCCAGGAGCAGACCTCAGCACCTTTATAAACCCCCTACAAGCCATTACCCCCAAGTCCAGCCCGATGGATATTCTGGTCAGCGCCCTTCTACTCCCAAAACTACACATTCCTCTGAGCCATTTCTTAAATCAACTCTGTTTGTACCCTGGTGTCTTGCAACTGTTTTTCAACTTGGCTTCTCAAACGATCCACAAACTGTAAAAAACTCTCAGAAGGAAACTGTTTAATGTTAATATAGCTGCATTTAACCTCAGTTCCTGGTAATTGATACAAAGTCTTTTCTGCAGCATTACAGTTTTTTTTTCCAAAACCGATCTAGATAACAGTCTGGTTTGTTTTTCTGGACATTGTATGTCTCCTGTACCGCATAAATGATGTATCGTAATAGGATAGCCATCACTATCAAGGGCTTCACTGGGCATATGTTGTATTTCTTGTAAAACTGTTGTCAAAGCTATTTTCCACTTATTTTCCCATATCTCATATTCAGAAGGTGTTAGTAAACATTTAAACAAGTCAGTGACATCTTTAGGTACCATTTCATTTAAATTAAACGTTGCCCTTATCATCCCTTTAAAAATCTCACTGGACCTCCCAGATTCTCTCTGAACTTTACAGATTTCAGTTTTGTCTCTATATGGTAGTGGTTGATATGTTCTGGTACCGTTCCTCCTTCCTAAATAAGCAACTGGTGCTACAGATGGTATAGATTCCTCAGTAGAGGCAAGGTTTTGTCTCCCCACCACCCCCTCCGTCCCGGTGAGAGGCAGCTCGCACTCCCCTCCCCGGGCTGTCTGCTCCGCCGTGCAAACTCGGGGCCCGCCCATGCTGTGAGCTGCTGGGCTGCTGTCCCCTGCCCCTGCCCTGCTGTCGTCAGCCCTGGGGCTCGGAGGTGTGCAGGGGACGGCCCTGCCCCTGTTCCCGGGGCAACACGGGGGCTGGGACTGATAAGGAGGGTGTGGTTGAGGGGTGGGAGATAGGGAGGCATTGGAGGAAGCACGGGAGGGTGGGGGAAGGAAAGGAGTGTGAGGAGGAGGGGGAGCAGGGTTTGGGGGGGGCGGGGGAGCCACATGGCCGCTGCCAGGATCGTGCCGCGTGTGCTTAAGAGACACTGCAGTGCTCCCTGAAGCAAACTCTGGACTATATTTCTCGGAAAAGCAAGGTGTTAGAGAGGGATAAGGGGTGGGTGGGGGGGTTTCAGGGCTGGGATATTGAGGAGGTGGGCAGGTTGGGGAAAAGGTAGTATATGGACTATGGTTCTGCGTTTGTATGCTTTTTTCAGCTTCCAAAATCTTTTTTCGTGCTTGTAAAAATATCGGAATAAATCGAGAAGCTTTATGTTCACCATTTTCAACTTATAAAGTTAATATCTGTCCAATTTGATCTCAAAAAGAAAGTGAATTCAGTTCTTGCACAGTGAAATGTGGTATTTCTGCTGTCAGCCAGAATGCAAAACGCAGGAGAAGCTTGTTAGAGAACGATACATTGTTTAAGATATTGCTAAGCTTAGTGTGCTCTTTTGTTCCAGCGACAGTTTTGTACCCATTATTTTAATTGTATCGCTGGTCTATTCTCCACTAGAGTTAGTAACACAGCACAAATTATTCGAATTTCCCTCCGTGGAAATCCAAGCGCGGGGATGGGGGAGGGGGTGGGGGGAGGGTCTGGGGGGGCGGGTGGGAGGCACTTGTCCCGCTGCTTGCTGGGGCGGCTCCAACCCTCTCTCCCATCACTTCTCCCCCCAGGAATGTGGGTATCAGCCCACCGGTTCCACGCTGTCTCGCAGAGGGTCCCTGGCACCCCCTCTCGCAAGAAGCCCCCCGCAGTCACTCTGGTAACTCCTCCCAGCCAGGCGCGGTCCCGGGTGACGCGAATGGAGAACTCACCAAGGCTGTGAACTGCGGGGTTCGTCTGTGGACTCATCTGGAGTCCCTCTCCAGCCGGCTCGCTTGGGGTACTCAGGCAAGATCCCCGACTTCTCCCTGTCACTCAAAACCTTTAAAGGCAGCTAGAGTACAAGGGCAGTTGACTGTCCCAAAAGCTATTGAAATCCACTGAGATAGGGGGTCCAGCTTGTGCGTGGGCTCAGAGGCAGCACACATTGGGGCGCCAACTGTAGTTTCCCCCCGTGACGCAGTGCCCCGAATAATCCGACTAGCTCAGAGATAAGGGGCTGTGAGGGGAGGAATATCAGGAGGGGGAAAGATATTCAAAAGAGGCTCTCACCCCAGGGTATAGCTGGTACAGCTCTCTTTATTCTGTGATGTTCATGTGGAGAGTGGGGCAAAAGAGAGGGCGAACAGGAAATGTGAGGGGGTCTATATAGGTTTTGGACAGGGTGGGCTTTCCTGGCTCTCCGCCAACCCCGTTGGGGCAGAAAGGAGGATCCAGGGGTTATCTTGATCAGAGTCACAGGGTCCTGGGGAAGGGGAAACAGAATGCCCGTGAGCTCACTGTAACAGTCTCCCTCTGCTCAGGTAACTCCATTGGATGGGAATAAAAGTGGCTAGACTGAGAGGTTTTGAATGGTGTTACATGGCTAAGAAGCAAAGGCTTCTTTAACTGAACTTATTTCATTATTATTTAGTTATTTTATAATTCTTGGTAAAGTAAGATTTCTAAAAGAAGATGAAGTGAAGAAGAAATGAAGAAGAGGCTTTTTTTTTATGAGAAAGAAGAGAAGAGTATTTGGAGAATTGCCACTGAATGCAAAGTGTCCCATGCAGGGAGGGGCATGTGAGAGGTGCCTCTGTTCCAGCAGCAGATGTGGGCTCTGCCTCTTTTGGGTGGGAAGGCCAAAGCAAAGCAGGGCTGGGCTGCAGCTGCTGCTGCTGCTGCTGCTGCTGTGAGAGCCCTGCAGTGCCTGTAGGTGCTCCCAGAGCCATGGGTGGGGCTGAGCTGGAGCTGCAGCTCTCTGTCCTTTTACTTGACAGATTCAGTCTTTGGATTAGGAATCCTGTTTCTCTTAAGTCTGGCTTCTTCCCAGACTTGCCTAGAGTGTCTGTGTTGGCACAGGCCTTGTTGCAGATTATTATACTTGTTGGCCAAAGAATGTGTCTCTGTCTATTGGTGTGCTGACCCATTGCCTGAAGTACATTTAGGATTGAGGCAGGGTAGACTCAAGGTGAGGAGTGGGAATTTTTGGATTTACCAATATCTTATTCTCCAGTGGGAAGTCTTTTCTCTTCTGTAAGCTCATACACAGCAGTTTTCAAAAGCATTTTATTCCATAATAAAAGGAAACATTGCAGGCTTGGAATCAAATTAGAATCTTTAGGATTCTGATGGACAGGCTATTGCAGGAGAGATGAATTTTCTGGAATGGGTCATTGTGAGAATATCTTTCTGTCCAAAGGTAATTTGCAGGTGCTTCATCTTGGGCATTTACTTCCTCAGTGGTTGTCTTCCTCAGTGGTCAACCACTGAGGTTGTCTGACAAGCTTCTTGGTTGTCTGGCTTTTCCTGTCTTTTGGGTTGTTTTTTTTCCTACCCTCTTGATTTACAGATTTTTGCCACTGATCACAAATGTGATCCTGGAAATGCCCTAGGTGCATAAATGTTTGCCTGGATCATACACATGGGGCAGCAGCAGAGGGCTCCAAAAAGCATCACCTTGTGATGGGTTGTCTGAGCTGTTGGATGGGGGTGGTGAGACTCTCAGCCAGAAATGTGTGCTTTGTGTGTGGGTTTGCAGCACACAGCCCTGGGCAGGGCTGGGACTGAGCTCTGCCCTTGCTGACAGCCGTGCTGGCAGCAAGGAGAACCCCTAGCTTTCTGCTGGCTGATTTCTCATAGCTCGTGGGATAAGCCAGAGTCAGAGTGTGAGGACACATGCCCTCACTTGGTGTCTTCTACTTTTCTGTGTTCATGTTTTGTGTTACTAGATTTCTGAGAAGAGAGAGGACATGATTTATATTTAGAGTGGAGGTTGAGCTATCCCCCAGTCTAGGCCTCTGATGTGGGCCTCGGTAAGGCCTTGGAAGCATCGGACGCAGTACGAAAATAGTTGTGGCACAGTTAGAAATTATGTTAAGGTGACTACAAAGTAATGAGCTATCTGAATGTGAATTGGTGTGAGTCTGCAGCATGAGGCTCTAGCCATCTTAAGACAGGAACAAACAATGTTTGCTGACCAATGATAGTGTGCTCACAATCTGTAAACTATATTGAAGTGTATATAAACTACCATCTTATAGACAATAAACGGAGAAGGTAGCATTAACCATATTGGCTCGATCTGCGTTTTGTCCAGTCCAGCTTCCCTCATATTATAAGAAGTCCCTAGCTTCTGTTTTGCCTCAAAGGTCATTTTGTAAGAGCTTCAGTTTCACCTTCACCACCTGACTCCTGAGTTTAAAAGGCTTGTCATGTAAACCATGTGGGCAGTGTTCCCCCTGTGCTTCATGTCTTTTGGGAGTGGAGGAGAGTTATTGTACTCCTGATGTGATTCCAACAAAATAGTGAATGATCTTTGTGTTCCTTTCTTTCTGTTTTTCTTTTCAGGACAATACTATTGTTGCCCCTCATTCTTCAGGAGGGGAGCCTGTGGACAAGGCTGCAGCAGAGGAAGCTTTGCCTGGCACCGAGAGCTGCCGGAACAATTCCCAGGAGCCCGAGGAACCTGGTAAGGACATAGCCCCCATTGGTTTAGAGAGGTGTTAGACGGCCGTTCTGAGGCTGCCTCTGGCAGGAAGGGAGATGAGAAGAGTTGAGTTCTTATCTGAAGGTTGGTGCTTCCCAGTGCTTTTAGTTCAAATCCTGCACTGGCACAACCTCCCTGAGCCCTGCCCTCCAGACTTCTGCAGTGGCTCTGACACTGAGTCCTCTGCTGTGGCAAGAGAGCAGGGAATAAACCTGACCTTGTGGGAGTTGTCTTACCAAGCCGGGTATCCCAATTTTGTCCTGAAGTCTCTGGATAAATTTGCTGCAGGGTAAAAGGGGAAGCCAGCCTCTGCAACTCTTGAAGGAGCAGGGGAAAAAAGAGCAAAAAGTCAGGATAGAAGTCCAAATCACTGACTAAATATAGTACCAATCTACTGGTATCAGTCCTGACCCACAAGAAAAACAAGGAGAAGCACATCAGAGTCCAACCACTTGAAAAATCACAGTAAATCCAGTAACAAAAGGAAAAGCTTGAATGACCCGTGATTAACGAGACCCAAGAGGAGAGAGGGAGCAGTTTGGATGCTTTCCTTAGCCAAGCTGGTTGTCATGGTTTGACACGGAAGGGAATTTCTTTGGAAGGAAGAGGGTCAAGCCAGTCAGTGATTGCGGCTGGATTTTGGCACTTGGGCTGACCAACTGAAGGCTGGACATGCCTCGGAGAGCACAGAGGGGTTAAAAGCCAGAACTCCCAGGGGAACTTTCTCTCTTTGGTTCCGGCCAGAGTGCAGTGCAGACTCTTCCCTGCCCAGCCCGTGGCTGGTTCGGGGAGGGGAGCCATGCGGCCCAGCTTGAGGTAGGCCGAAGGGTGGAGGGACTGGAGCTGGGCTGCCTCCCTGTAGATGGAAGGGTGGAGGATGTCTCCGTTCCCCTCCCCAGAGTCTTTCTGGAGAGAGAGAGAGAAAGAGACAGCAATGGTCTGTCATCAGTACACCACAGGGAAGGAGAAGAACGGAGGGGGTGCAGGGTGCCCAACTGTGGGAGCCAGGGGTCTGGGCAGAAAGCCTGGCCAGCGTCTGGGGAATTTGGACTTTTAACTCCTTTTTGGATGATGAAAGCTTTGTGAAATATTACTCCTCGATTTGAAAGAGAAAAAGAGAGACAGTCTGGGACCTGAAATGTTAGAAGGAGAAATTCTAGGTGGGAGGAGATGATGGAGTGGCTTTTGGCTGGACTTTTTCTTGTTAGCCATAGACTGAACCAATTTTCTCCTCCAAGAGAGAGACTGCATTTTAAGGGGATGTCTGGTGAGCCAAGAGACCGGTTTCAGTGACTACCAACACCAGAGTGGAGTGAACAGAGAAGAGCTGAGGCGGGTGTGGTAATGCCCTCTGTCTTCAGAAAGAGGATGATCTCTGTTCTTGAGACCCTCGGCCCCAGGGGAGGAAGAAAGTGGGGGGGACTGTGGTCCAAAAATGAGAAACTGAACTGTTGTTTTTCTTTGGTCCTTGTCAAAGCATTCTTGAAAAGAAAACCCTACCTTATGAGCAGTCTGTCCATCCATGTATGGTGGTGAGAGCGCTATGCATGAAAAGGAGAGTGTCACCATGGCAATTTTTTTTTCCTCTGGTCGGTGCCATGTGTGACATGGAAACACAAGGAAGTGGCAGTTGTGTTTCTTGGGGGGTCTATGGCACAGGAGAGGATCCTCTCTCCCTCGATGTACTGAATATTGATTATTGGAAGGGTGAAAGTCCAAGTTGTGTCTCACTGTGGTTTGTTGGAATTGGGGGGGGAGGACTGTTTTTGGAAGTTTTGGTTTTGTTTTTTTTTTTTTTTATTTTGTTTTTTTCTTTCTTTTCCCTTTTATAGGAGTAGTAGTTTAATAAAGTTTCTCCTTTTTTATTAAGCTTGGGCCTGCTCTGCTCTGTTCCCGATCGTATCTCACAGCAAATCATTTGGGGAGTTGTATTTTCATGGGGGCGCTGGCACTGTGCCAGTGTCAAACCATTACACTGGTGCAGCCTGCAGGCCTCGTAGGGAGCTCTGTCCCTCCCAGCTCTTCCAGCCAGAGCTGATGGTTGAGTTGGAGCAGCTGTTGCTCACTGCAGAGGGCAGTTTGTAGATGCCAGGTAATGGAGCTGGTTCATGACTCAGCTCCCAGCACCCCTCAGCTTCAGCCATTTCAGTGAGGACTGAGGTCTCTGTGTCAGCACAGAGAAAGAAAAAGGCTGGGACTATGTTTCAAGCTCTTGTGCGTGCCCTTTGCACTGCGAGTTGCTGAGACTTTATCAAGATACTTCAATTTTTTGAAACATACTTTTGAACACTTGGAATGATCCCTGTTCTTTTAAGGGCAGGCTTCAAATTGCCAAATGAGAGTTTGCCTTTCAGGCCAGCTTTGACAGTCCCTGGTAGAATGACAATTGCTGCCCAAGGGAAATGTGCATATGGGCCAATATTGATTCAGGTTCCCTTTGCTTCCCAGATGCCATCTGATCCATCTGCAGAAGGGCTGCCCTGTATGGCAGGAAGTGACGGGGAGAGCCTGGGACCATTGGGCAGGTAGAATTCCTCTGTTTGTAGATATATTGATAGATTTCTATCGTTCTATTTATCAATGCTTATAGTTACATTTATAGATTATAGTATTCTGTTTATATGTGTATATATTTATAGATCTGTGTAGTTAAATGTGGATATGTATACAGTTACAGAAGTGATATAATTATATTTCTATATATGTAGTTACATGTATAGATTTCCAGAGTCAAATTTAGATATCTGTAGAGTGAAAAAAAAATATATATATGATGTTATATTTATAAGGTGTATAGTTATATAGTAAGAGGAATGTGAATGTTTAGATGGATAGATTGATTGATAGATTACTGTTTTTGTAGGCCTAGGCTGCATTTTTACCTCTTTCCCCCCTCAGCTGCCTTTTTCACCTCTTGCTTTCCCCCTGTGCCCCCTGTGTCCCCTCTCCCTGTGCTGTGTCCAAGCTGGCAGCCAGGCCGGGCGGAGCAGCAGTTCCAGCCCAGGTGTCCCTGGAGTGGTGGGAGCTGCCGCTGACCCCAGGCACTGTCCCCTGAGGACCTGCTGAAGGATGGTGACACTGAGGGGCCGAGGGGGATGAGGGGGCAGTGATGCTGAAGAGACAGTGACCCTGAGGTGCTGCTGGGGCTGGGGGGTGTGGGGCAGCCTAGGGCGATGGTGGCACTGAGGTGACAGGGAAGTGGCACAGGCCGAGGGCGTGGCGGGTCTAGGGGGACGGGAAGGGTCAGAAGAGACTGAGGGGGTGAGAGGACTGTGAGGGGCTGAAGAAACTGAAGGGGGCCGGGGATTTGCCGAGAGCATGGCAAGGATGAGGGGATGAAGGGGGCCGGCAGGGAGCACAGAGGGCTCCGGGACTGCAGCCCTGCCAGGCCTTGGAACCAATTCCAGAGCCTCCGCTTTTGTCACAGATGCAGTGAAGGCCTTGAGGACAGCTGGAGATTGACGGGATCCAGCAAGGAGAATCTGAAGGCCAGCAGCAAGAGCAGGGATGGGGGACCTGCTGCTGCCACCCTGGAGAGAGCCTGGGTGAGGCCACAGGCCCAAGGAGGCAGGGTGGGGCTGAGGGTGGTGGGACTGCGGCCGCGGGCAGTGCCCGGCGGGGCAGGAGCGGGCCCTGCCCGTGCTGGGGCTGCTCAGCGCAGGAGATGTCCTTGGGCAAGGCAGCTTTGCCAGCAGGGCCCGGGAGCTGTGCCGGCTGTGCCGGGCTGCCGGGGCTGTGGGACTGTCCTGCCGCAGCTGCGCTAACCATGGCCTGGCCCACTCGGCTGCTTTTTCTTTCTAACCCTCCTGGGGAGGCTCTGAGATCTTCTCTTCCCTGATGGAAGCGCAGCTGCTGCCAAAGGAAATGTCCCCATACTGACTCAGTGTTCCCTTTGCTTCCCACGTGTGCCGTCTGCTGTCCCTGTCCAGGAGAGCTGCTCTTCACAGGAGGAAGAGACCGAGGGAGAGGCTTTGAAGATGGGGCAGCTGGGATCCCTCTGCTTGGAGTTCTGTTTAAAGATGCATGGACTTGCACATAGAGAGGGATTATTATATAGATATGTACATATGTAGGCTGCTGTTTGTATAGGAATATTTCTATATGTCTGTTATATTTATGAATGTATGCTATGTATAGATACAGATATGTTTTATGTGTCTATATGTATCTAAGCGTACATGTAAGGTGTTATATCTGTGTTTAGTTCTATTTCCTATGTATAGAATTGTGTTGCTATCTATGTCTATTGATGCAGTCATATATATGGCTCTTTAAATAGGTATTTTGTTATTTGTCCCGGTAGATGCATCTATTGTTATATTTTTATATGTATATTGATCCATTTCTGTGTGTAATTATTTTTACCTATGTATGCAGATGTATAGCTGTATATTTGTATTGATGTATTTGTATGGATATTTAGCTTGGCACAGTGATATTTGTATATTTGTAGATAGGTTTGTGTTATATCTGTTTATATCTATATTGTATATAATATATAATATTTCATTTATATTTACATCTGTAGATTCTTATAGTTATATATGTATTTATATACTTTTTTCTGTATATGGGTATTTAGTTCTATTTAAACATGTATGGAGATGTATAATTCTATAATTCTATTGGTTGAGTTCTTGGTATAAGGTTACTTGGGATGGGAGTACATATTTCTGTATTTCTATATGGGCTGTAAACCTGTAGTAATATGTAAAACATTAAGTTGTTAAACCCAGCTGATCTTTGTGTATAGGGAGTTGTTGCAGAAGTTGGCAATAAATTAGGTTTTATTAACTGAATTTGGTATTTTTACCTAGACTGGTTGTAATAATCTAATAAATTCCTGGTTTTAACCTTAATTGAGATTTGTATAGATCTGTATTGTCAGCATGGGTGTAGCAATTTGTAATAAATTATATTTTCCAACTGAAATTGATTCTCGTGCATTTGTCGATCGGCAGTGTGGCTGCAGCAATCTGCAGGAAATGCCATTTGTCAGCTGCAGTGGGTGTTTTGTGATTTGTGCTACCCAAACCCATGAGCAGATGTAAATGCTCGAGGATTTTGGCCATGAAAATCTCTAGCCATGTCCAGGATTTGCACTCAGGCTGGGCAAGGGAAGCGCAGATTTGGTATGGTAGCAGAGCCAACGTTGACTCAGAATTCGCTGCAAAGGCCTGCTGCGGAAACTCTGTGACTCCACTGAGAGTAGAACTCCAAGCAGGAGCCACCCTGGCAGCAGAAATCATTCACAATGAAAAAAAGAGAGAAAATGAGGCAAAGCAGATGCGGGGATACTCTGTGAATCTGATGAAATGCTCTCAATCACTGCTGCCTAGGCACGTCTTCTGCAAAAATATTTTGTTAAAAACTGAACACCTCCCATGACATTCAGATTGCACTTTCACCTTCACTTACCTAGCTGTGTGAGTGGAGACACTCTCTCCTTTTCACTGAGAATTTTTGCCCTTCAGCACTTGACATTAAATCAAAGATTATGTACTTCCACTTGGCACCATAAATGAAAACAGCCCTGCCCTCGTGACAGTGTTTGCAAAGTCTTCCCTCCTCCTGTCCCCACATCTCACAAACGGAACCATCCCCTTCCTGTCCAAACTGTGCCTGAGGTGAGTGAGGGCTCCAGGAGCTCAGGAGGCTGCAAGAGCTCTGCAGGTGGAAGGGTCTGCAAAGCTTCCTGAGCATCAGTAAACTCTGGCTTTGCCAGTCTTTCCCTGGAATATTGTCCTACTGAAGAAAGATCTTGGAGGACACTGTGCCTCCAGCTCAAGTAAAGTTTGTTTTCTTCAAGTCTTGAATAGAGGAAAATGAAAATTGTGATTGTTAGAGTGAAATTTGGGGTTTGGTGCAGCTGGGTTTGCTCCATTATTTGCTGTGGAAAGTAGGATAAAAGCTTTAAATTCCCAGCAGAAGCTGACTACCAGCCCACACAGACCTGAATGAGGCACAGGTGTGCCTGCTGCATGCTGGTCATAGGGAAAAGCTGGAACAAAGTCCCCTTTTATCACAGATGGAGCCTGTCTGTACTGTTGCCTCCAGGGCTGTCTGTGGTAAGACACAGCAATCCAGCCAGAAATTATGCATATGAGAGTTCCAACAGCAACCTGCTTCTCCAGATTGAAGGACTAGGCCAGCCCAAAAGTGTGAAAGGTGTTCTGGGTACTGGAGAAAACCAGGCTGTCCTTGTGCAGGGATGGCCTTCAAAGGGGACCTCACACCTTGTGCTGCTGACAAAGGGCAGCTGGTGGCCTTCTACAAAATGCTTATTTTGTCCAGCTCTTTGAAATGTTCCAGCCAGCAACAATTCCTGCTGCTCACACCAACCCCTTTCCATGCAGGAGGAATTTGTGTGAGCAGCCTGACAGCTTAGTGGCAAGAGAATAAAATACTCAGCTGAGTGTTATCAGCTTTCAGCCAGAAGCTGAATCTTCAGCCCCTTATCTCTTCCAGTCATTTCAGACATGGAAGAAACGTCAGGAAATCATTGATCCTGGAATGGAAAGCAGAAAGAAGAGAGGCAGTGGCTGCTTCCTGGGGCCTTGGGAACAGAGAGAACCATCCAAAAATAGCATCTCTGCTGAGTTGTGGAGATAGAGTGACCAGCCAGCAATGCTCTTTGTGAGACTGAAGCCATCTGTGAATGTGAGCATGGAAATCTGACCTTGCAAAACAGAGAAAAAGGGTCCCTGGGTATTTACCACAGCTTGGAGGGGCTCTGTATCACCTGCTCCAGGGGAAGGTGTCCCTGCCCATGGTTTGGTCTAGAGGGTCTTTAAGGTCCCTTCCAACTCAAGGCCCTCTGTGAGTCTGAATTACAAACCCACAATGACAAAGAGTACACAGCAAACATGGGTCCCGCTACATTATTGGAGGCTGCCATAGTCACTTGTGTCACCTGGAGACTGGTTTGTATCTGGAGAAGTTTTCATGGTCCCACAGTATTTAGGTGTGACTTTCCTGGTTCAGGGCCCCAAAAGATGCCAGAAGAGATTATTTGCAAGCACAGAATTGGTTAAGCTGCCTGTGAACCTGATGGAAGAAGTGTACTCATGTTATTGCAGTGTTTACCCTGTACAGGTGATATTTGGTTTCCATTTTCACTATGCAATGTTCTTGCACAATGCTTGTATATGCATAAATATTGGCTTTAAATCCTAATTCCATCTTCACACAAGGATGTGTAATCCATCAGTAATATTTAACATGGAACCATGTTAGCTTTGGGCTAGATGGTATGGGTTGTTTAAAGTGTGTGATAAGCAGTAGTAGGTCTAATAAATATACCTCTTGTTAATTTGGGTCTGTTGCATAGAAATCACTTCTTTACAAAAGAGACAAAGTGAAATTCCTTAATACAAATGAAAATTGTACACTTCAAGCTGATTAAAGGGGAAGTTTTCTGGTATTGTGAAAAGACAATCTAGATAACCTGTTTGCTGTACATCCTGGAGGAGACTTTGCAATTAAGAGTGAAAGGGAAGAAGAGAATTCTCTAAAGAAGTGTCTTGAAAGAGCTTTCTGTATTACCAGAAGCAGCTACTCTGATATTGACGTCCAAAATTATAAATGCACAACAACCACTTCCATGATTTAATCTGGCCATGATTTTTAGCTGCAATTCCAAAATCTCATTAAATATTATTGCTGGCCAGGGGCTATATAGAAGTCACGAATGGGACGGGACTGCTGTGGTATGTGTCTCGAGCTGTTTATTTTTTAGCATCAGTCTCATTATAGGGTTATGATAATGGGAAGATGCCAGCAGCTCACATCTAAGCAACAGACTAAGAACTTAATGTTACAACTTACTTTATAAACTATTTGACTAGTCACACAAAGCAAAAGCATATTGACAGTAGTTCTATCTAATCACTATAAGCACACATACCTTTGGTTAAACAATGCTTGCTTATTTTGAATACAATACTTGCTTGTAAGCCTCAAGATACAATGCACAGAGCTCCATTATTAAGCTTAGACCTTCCTAATATCTCACCAGATATACTTTTCTGCAACTTAGGAATTTATTCTACCTAAGCATTAATACACAGACTATTGCTCAGTTTGTCCTTTCTTTCTACTTCTTGTATACTTTTTCTGCTGACAAATCTTATAGCTACTGCTTAGCTCTAATCACTATCCTGTCTCTAAGGCCTGCCTTTTGCAATGTGCCCCAAACCCTCTGATTTTAGGGAATCCCACAATTCCCCCTCTTGGTTCAACTAAAAGAAACTGTCATAATCTTGTTGCTTATTAACTACCTTGCATTTCATAGCTCTTCTACAATATATCTGCTTATTGCTTGCTTAAAGCATCATTTTTGCTCGCATTAAGCATAGCTATATTACAACACAACAAATTTAATGCTGTGAAAGTCTAATCAATTTAAAGCACATAAGTCATTTTTGATAGCAATTATAAGTCATTGTTTAAAAAAGTCTTGCTGGTTCTAAGATCTTAGTTCAAAACTTTCTTCCATCTCTATACCTTCATCTACTAACTCTGTAAGAGTTTGAGAACTCTGTGTGAATCTATTTTTTACTTCTCTCTCTTATATGATAAAAACTTTTTTGATAGCTTTGCCCATCATGTGTTGTACACACTGAAGCATGCAAGGTATTGCTATGAGTATCATAACTAAAATGCCTAACACATATAAACCTATTTTACAAAGATTCTTTAGCTAAGGTGCAAAACTCCATTCTTTCTTGTGAGCTAATTTTTGGCAAAAATTTTACCCATATATACCAATTCAGAAATGTGCTTTTGACCTTAAAATAAAATTTCACCTTTGAAATCCAATAGAGGGGATCTATAACATAACAAACAAAAACCCCGTTTTTGCCAAAAAGAACTCTACGAAACCAACAATTAACACATCTATAAAGAGCATAAAATCAGAAGATTGTAGGTTCCACCGATGAACAAGGAACGCCAGGCGTGACCCGCAATCTCTCTGTTCAGCTCACGTCTGCGTACTTGCTTCTACAGTCTTGAACTCGTCAACACGTTTTTGGGAGTGATATGGTTTGACGTTTTTCGCAGGGACACACTTAATTCCTGCACCGGTAGAGACAGAAGCATACCCTTTGCCCCAAGTGATTAATCAGAAAGGACCTTCAATTTGTCCTGCCTCAGGGTTTCTAATCAAAACAAGGGGATTTTCTTTCAATTTTGTGTGTGTGTTATTTGAAAAATGTCTAAAAATTGGTGGATTGGGTTCTGCAACAGAGCTGTTTAAGAAATTAAAAACATATAAAACTTTGTTCAACCTCATCTGTGGTGTAGCCTCCATTCCCCCCCTCTGTTGATTAAGTATGTGTTTTAATGTTTGATGTGCTCTTTTAATAATTGCTTGATTTGTGGAAGAATGAGGAATACTAAAGATGTGGCGAACAATTTACTTTTTTAAAATGTGGTAAGTTTTTGAGATATATATGTGGGACCATTGTTGGGTTTTACTTTTTGGGGTACACTTAATGAAGCAAAAGTTTGTAAAAAAATAGTGATAGGCATGATTATTTGTTTTACTTGTGTGAAGAGAAGCAAAAACTGTATTAGAGAAAGTGACTACTGAAACATGGATATTTTTAAATTTATTAAAAGAAGGATATTTAGTGATATTTGTTTGCTATAACTGTAGGCTTTGTAAGCTTTATGGGTTGACTGCTTTTGTAGAAATAGGAGGCTGCATAAGTTGACAGTTAGGATAAGCACTAATGATAGCTTTAGTTTGATTTTTGGAAATTTGAAACATTTGTACAAGTATTTGCACATTTTGGTGATAAAAGGCATGACTCAATTTTGCTTGTTTAAAAATGTTTGGTAGAGTGTTTGAAATAACTATTGTTAATTTGTCAGCTTTTGCATTTCTTTCTACTAGAAATTTAGGAAGTGAAGAATGAGCCGTAATG